GTAGCACTGATGGAATCCTAATTTAAACAAAATTCTCTCTGATTTCATAAAAATGAACAATTAATTAAATTTCTCAAACACAGTACTATTTAACAAAATTCACTCGAATACAATAAACAAGACAACGCTATTTAAAATCAGTTAACAATAATCTGTAAAATCAATGTATTCTCAAACCTATAAGTACTTATAAGAAAACGATTTAAGTTTCTAAATATGCCCAAAAACACATCAATTCTTTATAAAATCCATATAAAAACCAAAATATGCCAAAAAACACATAATTACTCTTCAAAATTCACTTAAATCTCGAGAATTCTGCACAAATCAATAAATCGTAAACGGGCATAAAACATACAAAACCGGTGCACCAATTTATCGGGCAGTCATTCTAAGCGAGAGGAACAAAATTTCAAATAATGGTAATTTTCAATTGACTGAAAGTTGTAATGCCCTTGGTGCAAAACAGAAAGTCTTCAATTGTAAACAAACGGCGGCCACACTAGGCCTAACCGCCTATTCGAAAAGTAAAATGCTCATAAAGTGAAAAATACGCCATGCATTTCAATAAAATTCAGTATACAAAGGTGTAATGAATCAAAATATATCTACAAAAGTACTTTGCACAGTCTATTTAAGTAGAAAAAGCATAATCTTACAATTCGTATGCTAATGACCTCCGGATAAGACTTGAAACTTTTATATGCTTATATCTTCATTAATATGCACCGGAATTCAATAAAAAGCACCACTATGGAAACCGGAACATCTAAGGAATCATAAATATCATTTTCACATTCACAAAATCAAAATACACCGTATATAGACGATTTTTCGAAGAGCTCACACAAACCCTTGCAACATGTCTGCCGACGGCTGCTGTTGCCAAGCTAATGTGTTTTTCAATCACTCATGTGTTTTCTACAATATGGATGAAACTGGACTTTTGTATATATTTTTTTCCTAAGACGCATCCTCGCAATGGAAGGTGACACGTGTCATGGCGAAGCACCAGAAAACAACATTTAACTGCCGTCCTTGTGTGTAATACAAGTGGAAACGATAAACACCGTTCTTGAGTGATCGGTAAGTTCGAAAAACTCCGTTGTTTTAAAAACATAAATTATATCTTACCTTGCATTTACTCTAATCATAAGAAAGCTTGGATCGACAGCTTGACATTTCGTAATTGGCTTCTTCGTTTCAACAGACAAATCGTGGTCCAGAATTGGCATGTTCTTATGACACTGAGCAGGTGTGCAGCCCAAAACATACATGATTTGAATTTATCCAGTGGGAAAGTTCATGTTCCCGTCAAATGCAACAAGTTGTCTTCAGCGTCTGGATCAAGGCATTATTGCAGTTACGAAGTGATCTTATCGCAAGTGACTTCTGAGAGCATCATTTCGCTCTACTGGAAAAGAGACGGAAATGCTGACTTGGAGTGTGCTTCATGCAGTAAATGCTATTGCTGCATTATCGAAATCTTGTAATCACAACACATACAAAACTGTTTTAGGAGATCTTGGAGATATAAAGACGCTAATCTTACTGACGAGTTAGATTGGTGACAGCGATACTACTTCTCCCGAGGAGTGGAATATTTGCGAGATTAGTTTCGAGGAGTTTCATAGTGCAGATAACGATGTTGCTGTCTCTGCTCCATATTGCAGATAACGATGTTGCTGTCTCTGCTCCATAGGAATCTGATGTACAAGCAGTTGTGGCTGAGATGCAAGGAATATCATCAGAAGAAAGTGAGAAGGATAATATTATTCTGACCATACGCCAGGAAATGTTACTCGTCTTGGACACTGTAGAATGCTTTGCTGCAACATCCGGATTAATCGCTAGTTTTACGGAAGCCATGAATACAGTTGGTCGTGAATTTACGAAGCATTTTCGTTCCCGCCTGCCACAGTGCAACTTTTCCCCATTGGCCATTGTAGGTGTTGGCCACCACTTAGGCACTAGCAATTAGAGACGTTGGCCACTACTTAGGCCGGAAGCGGTGATGACTTTATCTTGGAGGCACCCAATAGGCGGGCCACTGTTGCCTCCTATGAAGTGTCAGACAATTTACATCCATGCCTTCTCCGGGATTCGAATCTTTCGGTACGCCAGTCAGAATCACTAACCACTTTCTCGTCTGGGCAGCATAGCGCAGGAACATATGCAGGAATACACAGAATATATACAGGAACAGGATATCTCCGATAATTTTTTGGCGAAAATTCCTGTTCCTGAATACAGCGCAATATACGAGATCAGGAATTTTTCACCAAAAATAATCTGAAAGTGCATTTCTTTAAGTTATACTGCAGTAATTAATACATCACTGTAGTTCTTTCTATGTCGTTATATATAATATACCTGTGTACTGTAAATGGTTAATTGTTAATGTCCAGGAAAAATTATTCCAAATGTAAAATTTGAGTTCTTAGTTAACACGAAATTGTTTTTAAAGGAACTCTTCATTTTTCGGCCCTTTGAGATTCGTGTTAATGTACTGTATATATACACTGTGTTTCAAAACGAATATACGTATTATAAACTGTTATTTTGTTAAAACTATCGGTCACTGCTCCCTCGGCTCGGCTACTGGCGAAACAAATACATAGTCTAGTTTATGCTAATAGCCGCTGTCAGTCGTCTTCTGTTTTGCGTAGTAACCGTCACATGTTTAAAATGGCTACTCCGCAGCAGAGATCATTTTGTGTTCTCGAGTTTGCGAAAGGCAATTTCGTGATTACAGTGCAAAGACGTTTCAAGTTGAGGTACCAAAGTGATCCTCCGAATGGGTAGAATATTCGCAGATGGTATCGACAATTTGTAAATACAGGATGTGTATTAAAGGAAAGAGTCCTGGCCGCTGTCGTGTTACCGACGAAAATGTTGCACGAATTCAAACTGCTTTCCAATAGTCCTTCAAAATCAATTCATCGTGCTACATTTTGGCGTGTTTTGAGACGTCGGTTGGTTATGAAGCCGTATAAGTTACATTTGTAACAGGCTCTGCCTCCTAATGACAAACGCAAACGTGTGGCATTTGCATGTTCCAGCTGGCCTCCACGGTCACTGGATTTGACACCCTGTGACTTCTTCCTGCGGGGTTTCATTAAAGACAACTTTTATGTACCACCACTCCTACAGAACCTAGAAGAAGTGAAGAACTGGATCCGTACTGTCATAACATCAGTGACGACGGACATGCTTGCCTGAATATGGGAGGAATTTGAGTATCGATGTGATATTGTTCGTGTCGCTGATGGAGGATACTGAACATCTGTAATCTGAACTTAAGAGGTTCATAAATATGTGTGTAAAGTTTCATATTGATATGTCATACTCATCCAGTTTAATAAATATATGCATTCGAAATATATTCTTTTTGAAACACGCTGAATTTTTATCAGATTATGACTTTGAAGTAATAAAATTGCATGTAAATATTATTAATGCATTTTTAGCATATGAAAATTTATAAACTGCACGTGTGAAAATATTTTCGACATACCAAATATAACAGAATTATAAATTAAAGAATAAAGGTGTTACTCACTAGTAAATCAAAAAGGAATATCATTGAATTGTATGAACAGCTCCTGCCATCAGCCGAGTTAACTCAGGTACACAGAACTAAATTACTATCGCACACTCGAGTAAGTATTTTTTTTTACAAATTACGAGTAACAGGAATTGTTTTACAAATGTTGATACAACTGAATATATTTACTACAGTTTTGAGTTAAAGTAAAGAAAGAAGTTAGAGGTTGAGTTAAAATAAAGAATAAAATAACTGTCGGAAAAACGACTACTTTCTGGATTTCTATTGGTGCATAAAGGTGTAAATAATGGGAAAATCAACCTTGAACAGCTCTAACTTACTTTTAATTAGCACTTAAAAGGAAAGTCGGAAAAGATGCCAAAAATCCCAAATTAGGGGATTAAGCACCTGCTCAGTTTTGGAAAACGGAAATCAAACATTTTGCGTTTGATTTTTATATTGAGTAAATTAACTAAATTTAAAGGTAGACCAGAGTATGATATAAAAAGCAAGATTTTCAAATTTTTGCAAAGTTGATTTACTAAATTTAAAAATACCAAAATATTAATATTTGGTTATTTAAAGCATTTTTGTAAATAGCAATATAAATCTAAGACCAACGATTGCAAAAATGTAAGGTGCGTAAGGATGTTTTTGGCCATGATGTATAACTAAAACTTCCATAATAAAACTTGAAAACTTAAGGACGACAGACATAGATCCCTCTTCTTCAGAAGAAAAAAATTCTCTCAGGAGCAAAAAATGGGTGGAGTTTAAAATCTGCATCAGTGTGAATTTGCTTTTTACCTAATTTTATATATTTGCAAGTACTAAAACGAATTCAAATTTTGAAGCTCTAATGTTGCTAGATTTGACCATTCTATTGACTCATTTGATTAAGTAATTAGCCAGAAATTAACTGACATAAAATAATTACAACTAATTACTGTAATCAACGGTTAAAGGATTTTATTTCAAAGTAAAATACTTAACTGCGTTTCAGTGTATTTTTGTCTACCTTAACATTTATGAATTATAAATTAAGATACAAATAAAGCATTAGAGGTAGTTAAAGGATTTATTTCACGCCAAAATTTGAGGAACTTTGTTAATGGACACTGTTTTTAAAATTTTCATAATGAGTTCATTCTTTAACAAAAAATGTTAATTAATAAAGCTTTTTAATAAACAGAGTATGTATGATACAAAGTTCTGCTATTTGCAGTCTATAAATTTCACAGATTGTTTTAAAAATCGTACCTTTATTAAATTAACTGCAAACAGTTTAGTTTAATCAAGTTACAAACGTAATCAAAACCAAGCATGTTGAGCACCAGTAAAGTATTTATTTATTTAATTAGATAAAAATAATTTCTAATTAAAATAATTTATTTTCATTAATTGCAAAATAAAAATTCAACGGGAATCCATGGACTTTCTTTTCGCATCCTAGAAATCTCTTATTGACAGCAGCTCAGACTGTGGCTTAAAACCTGCTTCACTATCTGGAAATATCACACTCAAAGATGTGCAATTCAGCTATCCGGCAAGAACTGTTCCGGTAAGAATTATAGTGAATAACAAATTAGATTATTGAAGCTTGTCTCTTGTAAATTTTTTTTGTGATAAATGTTTTTAATATTTTCGCAGGTTTTGAAAGGATTATCCCTTGATGTGAAATCCGGTCAAACAGTTGCTTTAGTAGGTGCTAGCGGTTGTGGTAAAAGCACTGTGGTACAGCTCGTTCTCAGGTTTTATGATGCAGTAACAGGATACGTGAGTAGATTCCTTTAATTTTAGTATAAACGTATGGTCGATCAAAGTATATTTCTGAATATAATAAAATTGTTGACACAACATTTATTCTCTGCATAGACAAAGAAAAAAGGGTGGCACGGAAGAAAGGTGAAAAAAAAACCCTTTATTTATTCCCACTAATTAACAGAAATGCACGTACTTCGTGCTTTACAATAACACCGACTACTTGCGGTGGAACTTAAACGTTATGACACAATCAATTCAAGTCTAAATAGAATAGTGCTGGTTTAGCACATTAAAGAATAGCTAACTTACTTAACCGTGCTAAACTCAACAAAACCTAACAGGCTGTTGAGTTTAGCACGTTAAAGTTGTTGACTCAACAAAACCTAACAGGCGTGACAATTATCCGAAATGGCCAAAGGGCGTACTAACGTAACGGCAAGATCAGCAACTAAACTTGCGCTGGTTAGCGAAAACCTGCTTACTAAACTCTGACTAAACTAAGAGATTCACTCGTTTTAATACTCACTTCACTTAAGTTTAAAATTACATCCTGGCAAGGAAATGCGAAGGGAAGCTGAGGAGTTCAGGAAAGATAACAAACATTTGAATAATATGTTAATTTTAGGATTAATTAAAGGAAACCCTCCAAGATGAGTATGTGCTGTGAAATATCATTTTTAGTACCTAGAAATGAATAATTTTACTGAAAAAAACGCACACTCAATTTATTTATACGGATAAGGAATGAAGAATAATAATTTAACTCATATGCATGAGTAATTAAGAACGATGTTCTTTGGGGTGATAAACAGAGTAACATGTTATCCAGGTGAAAGCTTAAAAAGACGTTTGAGTGTATTATAAACATACAGTTAAGCTCCGATTAACCATGTCTGGTCTAAAAAATTTTTCTTTATTGTGAGACGATGAATCACAAACCTTCAACATATAACAAAACTTTCCATAGAAAAGAGAAACAAAATGATGGGAAAACAGTATTGCATAGCGAATGATGCCATTAGTCATTTACAATTTAGTTCCATCTCTCCTAATGACGTTTATCGTTTCATTATTTACAGCATAATCCTTTTTGTTTTGAATGCTGATTAAATGTACGTAACCAGATAATCTTAGTGTTTAAATTAAATTGCTTAAAAATAATGTAAACTGTTATTAGTATTTTATTTGAAGTTTTGATCAAAAGATATATCTTATTGTGAAAAATAAATAATTAATAAAAAATCTGATTAAGTTTGAAGAACTTTCATCATTTCATGATATCTATTAAATAGCAATGAAAACTTAGTTTATAATTAATGTTTTGCATTGATAATTAAATTAAATGTAATTTGAATGCTACAAATCGTTTGATATTGAAAAACATAACTTCGTATTAATTCGACAAAAAGCAGGGGATTACTTCTAAAATGTAATGTAAAGTTTTATACATATATGATTTTCATCTGAAATTGAGCTGTAAAAATCATGTCTGTAACATACCCTCTAAAACTTTCACTCAAGGATAATCCAAAATGTTTTAATTAAAACCAATTGAATGAACGTAAAAATAACTGTTTAAATAATTTTACTCGTAAAAAGTACAACTTCAAGTGAAGAACTATACTGCTGTCTTTTAATATATTCAGGTTAAATATAATTGAAATTCAAGACAAATATCTAATTTCCACAAATCCACAAATTTGAAAGAAAATTGTGATTACTACTTAATGAATCTAAGTTGTGCTGCCAAAAGCGTGGATCAAACATTTAATTATTCTATTTGCAATTTTATCTTATGCTATACAGTGAAACTTTAATTGCATGCAAAACCTATCTTAACAGTGTGAAAGAAAGAAACTTCGTTCAAAATGTTTTTTCAACAGTTTTACAAAATATATTAAAGAATTCTTTTTCAATACACAAAATTAAATTATTTCTAGTATCAGCCTACCTTGCTTTGTTGTTTCTTTTTATTGCAAAGCACAGATATTTTATTTGTTTGTAAACCGAAAAGGTTAGATAGGTTAATAGATAATACAGGCTTTGCGTCTATCAAATAGGATGGCGCCTTTATTTATATATTTTTCACAAGAACCTAAAGAATTTCTCACCAGCAACTTGAAAGAAACAAATGTAATATGATGAGTTTCATGAAATAAAATATCCTTTATTGTGTATGCAATATTTCGATAAAAAAAAAAGTGATTTTTAAGAATAAAAACCCTTCCGAAAGTGTTTCATTTTTTTTTCAAAAACAGAACTATATAGATTTTTGAAGACTAATGTTTCTATCTTTAGGTAGCACTGGATGGCTACGATGTGAAGCAGCTGAATATTGGTTGGCTTAGAGATAATATAGGCCTTGTCGGTCAAGAGCCTATTCTTTTTTCGACGACCATAGCAGAGAATATCAAGTTAGGAAAACCTGGTGCTTCAGATGAAGAAGTTATAAAAGCAGCTAAAATAGCAAACGCTCACAGCTTTATTGAAGCTCTTCCTCTGGTAAGTTTTAGTGCATCTTTTTGAATTATACTGTTTTAAAATGATTTTAGATAAGGTGACATTTATAATTTTCCTGAAAGAGGAAAACAGAGCAGTTTCCAGCTTTACAACTTCAAAACGGATTATATATTTACAAGAGGATAATTGTGCGTGCATAAAAAATACAGTTTATGCAAATTTTAATTTGTAGTTTACCGGAACGTTAATTTGCTATTTATAAAAGCATAAATTATGTGAATATTTATAAACTCAGTAAAATTATGCGAAAGTGAAAAAATCAATATTATTGTGGCGATAAAAATCACAAATCAGTTAGTAGATCATTGTCTTTCAGTTAGGAGAAATTAGTAGATCATGCTATACCCTTCATTTTGCGCCATAAATGTCCTGAAGTCCCATCGCCTTGAACAGAAGTTAGAAGGAAATAAAAACAGTAATAATGATCGTCAAATGAAAGCATGTTCAGAGGATAAAAGAAAGGCTGCCTGATTTTTACATAGCGAAAGTGTGAAATGAGTAGATATTCGTCGAAAGGGAATTCTTGAAGAATCTAGATTAAGAATAATTTCAACATATGAGTGGATCTCTCAGACAGGCATTAGCCGGCAAAAAATTCAAGATAGGCAATGAGATAAACTAGGCGTTTCATTCAGTGACTCATAGTTATTCAAAGTGTGATTTTTCTTGATTGATCCAGAAAATTGCTAAAACGCTGATACTCAATTTGGACTATGTTAAAAATAATAAAATGTGTGCAGCCTTTTTTGTGTATATTTTGTAAGTGATCATGAGATTAACTTCTGATTATTACTTGAGTATATGATTGTCAAAAGTATGTGTTAAGAAAAAATTATAGAATTAAAAATTTCAAAATAAACACCTTAATTGAAACGTAAATAATAAGTAGGTAAAACAGTTGTAAAAAGAAGCACATGGCATTTCATTTTCAAAACACTTTCTGAAGATAGCACTCAACTGAGCTCGATTGGAGGTAAGGGTACTCCTGTGCGTGTTATCTGACATCATCGATGACTTTTCTCAGCAAATTTTCTGGAATTACATGAACTTCCTTTCGGATGTAACCTTTCAGTTCCTGTATAGTATGAGGTGGGTGGGCGTAGACCTTATCCTTCAAACAACCCCAATAGAAAAATTGCATGCTCTTAAATCAGGCGAATGTGAAGGCCATTCAACATCTCCGAAACTAGAGATGATATGCGAGGAGGCAAGGATAAACGAAGTGTACAATGAAAGGGAAGCCATGAAACGTCACGGTATGACGTCATGACTTATCATAGCCGCTGCCATAGGCGAGCTTCTGGTTGGTTTTGTTTACATTCTGATCGGTGTTGTCTACATGTTAGCTTTCGTCATTGCATGTTTATATATCCCCCGTTCTAATTTTAATACTTAACATAAATGAGTTAGTACATGGAAAAATCACATGGATTGTAAATAACTGTTCCAAATTCAATAAAATCTAGGTGCATGAAAATGTGCAAATGGTAACTGTACGATATAGTAAATTCTAGAACACCAGTGGAAGTTTTAACGATATTTTACGCAAATTATGTCTAAAGACACTTTTCTGAACCTATATGGACTTTGATATTTGCTCTCAGAGTCAGTGTAATTTTATTAAACAATATGTGTCGTAATCTTATCCTACGCTATATGGTGGCCACGCTAAATCGTGACGTCACGTTGTTGTGACTTCATTTTTGTAATGTTTGTAACTTATTCTATCTATTCTAACCTCTTTTATAAATCCGTTTTATTCCGTACAGTGTTGCCACTCCCCGCTTTCAAATGATTCCGTTTGTTAATAAAAAATCATTAAAGTTTTACAAAATAAGAAATAGATAATAAAACAGATTCGAAATTCAAAGTTCGAGCTTCCAACTGTACATCTTTGGGTGGGGTTCTACCTTATTCAAAATTTGATGGAAAATAGGAGGAACATACACTAATACAATCTTTATTATTTAATTTCTTCAAAAATGATGCAGGGTGATAATGTTTGGTAGCAACAGTTTGAAAAGTGATTGATTAGTCGTTTCGACTAAACCGACCCAAAATTTTTGCTGTTGAATTGTATGCGCGTAAGTACGAAAAAACAATGCTTAATGATAAAGCTAAAGAGACCAAAAAAAAAGGGGGGAGAGGTTAGCAGGAGCGAATACAACAGCAGACTGGTAGACTACGAACCAGTGATGGTGTAAAAACCTTAACAAACTCTTTTGGGCAACCGTTAAAATCTAAAACCTTTCAGATTTTAGATTTTAGATTTAGTTTCTTTATTTATTTATATATTTATTGTTCATTTGCAACATTTTCCTTCAAAATTCATTCTACTTGATGCTTTCCCAAGGACTGTTGCGTAGCAAATAAGGCATGGAATTGCGCCACCTATAAAGATGTCACGGTGACGCCAAACGTGAATTGTCTAATTATTTTTGCTCCATCCTGTATTTTGCATAAATATCAAAACGGAAAGAAACAAAGGAAACTGAAAGGTATGGAGAAGCATAGCTAAATTTCAAGACCACTTGCAACAAGAAAATGCATATGCAAGGATGTCCTCGAACGCTAATTATTACAGGAAAAGTTTTAGAAAAACATTGAGAATTTCCTGTTTCATATTAGAATTCACTTTTCTCCAGATACAAATATTATGCTTAAAATTTAAGTTTGAATTCGGTACCCATTAGTTCCTTCGCTTTCAGGGTAAAAATCAACTACTAGAAGTTCAAATGTCAGTTATATGCCTAATTGCATAAAAGTATAAATTTTTGTTCAAGAATTTTCTGTTTCTTACATGTTTTTTTTCCTATGTTTTTTCTTTCAAATATTTTATGTATGTTTTGTCAATAGCAATACAACACGTTGGTTGGAGAGAGAGGAACGCAGCTGAGTGGAGGTCAGAAACAAAGAATAGCTATCGCTCGAGCTCTTATTAAAAATCCAAAGATTTTATTATTAGATGAAGCTACGTCAGCACTAGATACAGAAAGTGAAGCGGTTGTGCAAGCAGCACTTGATGAGGTTTGTATTTAGTAGTTTAAAATAAAATTTACGTGTAAGTTAAGTATAATCTTTTAGCTATGCAATTGTGATGTGATCATTTGAGGATATAACGTTCTTAATCATTTGTACAGCCCTTGTAATTTTTTGAACTGTATGTCATCATGACACACATGTAATCAGCGCGTTATAAGGAAAGTACATAATGTACTACCATATGCTATAACATCTAATTCCTGTAATTACTAAACCCTTACAAGTTAAACACAGATATGAGGGGAACTTAAATTGCTTTCGGTATTTCTTAATTTTTGAGATAAATCGTAATATTAGCTGCAGTGCTCTTTTCGTTTAGGTAACTGAATCAAAATTTCAACAGAAAATTCTTTTAATTTCGAAAGTTTTATTTTAGTAATAAGTAAGTCTTAAAAATCGATTCTAAATTTTGAGTATATACCTCTCTTTCCCTGGGAAACAAAGTCTTTTACGGGGGTTAAGACTCTTTAGGAAAGAAAAGCCCCACCCACATGTAAAATAAATTTTTTAGGAAGTGAAATGAATTTATGCAGATTTTTTGTAAAGATGCAACTAAAAACGGGGGGGGATGAGAATTGTCACTTGTACAGAACCTAATGTTTATTCTCAGATAATTTTCCGATTTGGAGAAAAATGGTTCCTCTGTCACATTCTGCTTGTCTGCTACAATTATATTTTCAGGAGATCGTGGTCAGAAAATGCTGAATTCTTCTCTCTTTCTTTTCATACTACACATTTTTCGTTAAAACTTTCTCAATACTCAAGTTATTGTTTATAGTATGATCTTTATTCTCATTACTAACGTTTCATCATTTTATCTTTTTTCATTGGTATACTGGGAAAAGAATCATCATTGTTTCTATCATCCATTGAAGTAGTACATTTTACTATGTATTCGGTGCTTAAATTTAACTGGAGACCGGTTGAGCTCTTTCTTAGTTTTTGGGTGAAACTTAATTCCAGATGGAACCCCAAATAAGGAAAGGTTCGGTACTTTATTTTATTATTTAGCTAATCTACCATCAACTTATTCATTTATCTATTTTTATCTCTTTACATTTTATTGAATTTTAATTTGAACTATCTTTTATTAAAATTATTAATTACTTTATTATTTCAAGTATTGATTATTTTCTTATTTTACAATTTTATTATGTTTATTTTTGTAATCCATGATGGGAATTGATTAATTTTTTAACTTTCCATTGTTGAGCAAAGTTTTTGTTATATTGCAAAATAAAATAATGAAGTGAATAAATTGGTCAACTTTTCAATTAAGCTTTACTAACATCATTTATTTATTATTTAATTTTCGTTTAATCTTATCACCAAGTCTTAAAATATATATACAAATTTAAAGTTGGATTTATTCTGTACTTTTTAAATCTCCCATTCTTATTCCCATGCAATTCATACCTTCTCGAGTTTCTCGTGTTAGCTTATTCGATTCATTAAAAGTTCGGGGACTAAATAAGTGCAACTATAGATATACCTCAAAATGATGTGAATAAAAATAATAAATGCAAACATGAAGTTTTCTTCCGACGGTTGATTGATCGTGATATCTGCTTAGAGAGAGCTATCTGCTTAGGAAGGACATTTTTGTGAAAGTCTATATAAGGAAAATTAGCTTTTATTCAGTTTAATCTATGAAGTTCTTTGCAGGTTGGTCAAACATCGAGAACCTCAGAATGAACTATTTGATGGTCTTATCCACTCGGTCAGTGGTGGAATTTTGTTTTTTATTTTTATGTAACACTAAATTCACTGAAGTAGTATTATTCGTCAGTGAATCGCGACACGATATGAAGCTTTAAAAGCTTATAACTTTCTTTCTTTAAACATACTGTTACAACTTTTGAATACATCTAAATAATTTTAATGAAATTATATGTGAAATTGTAGTATCATTTGTATAATGTAACATGAAAATTCAGAAGAGACAAAGCTTTGCCAAAAAAATAAGATTATAGGGGTAAATCTATTTAACATAGAGGCAAATGGCTGTCTTGCTAAACTGGCGAGATGTCGCCAAGACGGTAATAATTTTGACGACTAAATTTTGTCACCAAATATGGTGAGAAGACATTTTGTTTCAGTTCCTGTATAACTGTAACTGGTACTGTAATTGATCCTTATATGCAACTGTAACAGTATCCGGCGATTAGTTGTAACTTTAACCATACATGCCTTTCACTAATTTCGAGAAATAGAAGGAACTAGGGACTTCTCAGCGACCGGGTGAAAACTACTAAACACTGAAAGCATTTGCTCTCAGTGTTTAGTGTTCGGAGTACTGATATATACATAAAGTGAGCTTCGCTCTTTGGATGCGCTTTACATTGTATTGTGTTTATCTTTATTAGTAGTTTGAAGTTATAACTATTGATTGTCCTTTATTATTATGAGAAAAGCTATACAAGCACTTCTGTAGAAATTTCTGCAACTGTGAAGTTGAAAGTATTTGGGAAGATATTTGTAAAGTATTTGGGAAAATAAATTTTACCAGGCTATCATCAGATAGCTTCAATCCAATCCATGAAGCTTTTAATTCATTACGAACCCATAAGCACAGAACAATACATTTTATAATATTAAAAAGTACTATAAATACAAAACAAAACTCCTTAAAGTTTCTTTTCCCGACTTTTCCATAGGGCTCCGGCACTTCTAATTTTAAAAATTGAGGCTTGGATATGAATGAATTAAAAAAATGAATACGTCAATTAAAAAAAAAAACACTGTTTTCTTCTGTAGTACCCGCACGCTCTCCGAAGATAACATCAACACTTTCTGTAACAAGCAGAGCAGGGCATTAAACAGTGGTGTCCGTTCTTCATCTGTTTACATTTCGATCACTTTAGTCCTCTTGTGTGTGTCGCAGGGAAAAGGTCTTTGCAGGCCATTTGACTGAATTTGTCTGTGCTGCACCTAATAGCGAAATATTGAAATTAAGAAAATCAATTCTGTAGGAACAGGAATAAACAAAATGTTCTGATCGCAAAATTTAAATGTAATATTTAATTAGGGTAAAACAGCATTAGTTTGGCAAGAGATACTTACAGAAAAGAAGCATTCAATAAAAAGGATTTTGAAGCCGCTAATCCTTAACAAACAATAGAAATTTATTGTCGAAATTTCTCTTTTTTATTTATTGAGATTTTATTTGAAAGCTTAAATTAACTTAAAGCTGTGATATCTCACGAAGCCATTTTTATATTGCTTTCGCATGCCAGCTGCAAGAAATGAGTTCTCCCTGATGCTTTACCTCTTTTCTACAAATTAGTCATTTCTAAAGCAGAAGTGTTCAGTCGACAATCATTTTAAATTAAATAGAAAGTTCTTCTTGTTATTGATCTAAGGCGTTTCTCAGATGGTAATTCAAACATTAATCCTTAATTAACGTAATATAATGAGAGTCAATCGTACAATACATCTTGGCTACACTAAAACGTTAACTAAATTAAAACGTTAACTAAATTAAAACGTTAACTAAATTAAAACGTTAACTAAATTAAAACAGCTATAATGTATTAGAACCATCTATAGGTTAGAGTTCGCAGCAATCTCTTTCATTTTGACTAAGCAGTTGGAAGATTTTGAATATTTCTTTTGTCTTTTGAATTAATTTTGTTGATTTCGCTACTAGGAAGACTATTAGCATGATTCTATGGTTGGTTCTCATAGGTAAACATTATTAGACGTTTCAACAGGCGGTGCTACAAAGCACAATTCAAAGATTATATCGGGTAGACGGACTTGCCTGAGAAGTAGATGTATAACAATTATCCTTTTAAGACTAAATAGCTTTTTATTTCTTTAGGCTAGATTAGGGCGAACAACTATTATCGTGGCTCACCGACTTTCCACCATTAGAAATGCAGATAAAATTGTGTTAATTGCCGATGGAGTGGTTAAAGAAGAGGGAACCCATGAGGAATTAATGGAGAAGAAAGGAAGTTATTATCAGCTAATAGTGGCTCAGGTAATATTTATTTTTCATCTGAAGATCTTTCTATATTTCCATTTGTAAAAAATTGTCACTAAGATACTAGCGAAAGACATGAAAAACATTTCCTCTTTTAACTGAATCGAGAAGTATCAAAATTATAGGCATGCACCAAATTTATCATATTTATGTATTTAATGGATGCATGCACTAATTGTATCATGTATATGAAAGATGTATACATGCAAATTTAATATCCTGCCCAGTGTTAATGAATTCATGATGTTTAAGTGATATACCATAAAGCATTACGTGATCTCCTTGCTGTCAGCTAAAAAGCATAATTTGTTGGAAGAAAACTCATCCAGGACATATCAAGTAGTAATCTACGATGCTAAAAAGGATTTTATGAATTTCGAAACTGTGTAACTTGTATTCAGGGTATATCAAAGCCAAAGGTACAGGCTTTAATTCTTTAAATGAAAATTTGTTGTCAGCTCCGTACTTCCAAATGGAAAGTGTTTTAAAAATAAGGTAGAGAATAATGAAATTATTATCAATGTTACTGCTGTAAAGGCTTTGTAAAATAAAATTCATGAAATTAAATTTGCAAAATAAAAATTAACATTATTATGGTATTATAGCTAACACATTGAACGTAATACACAAGTATAATCGGAAGAATATTTGCGAGAATCTGAACGGTCTTTAAGGTCATATACATTCTCATATCTTGAATGTATATGACCTTGTGAAGATTTATCTATTTAATTTTTAACTAATAGTTAATTTTAAGTTAAAGTACTTTTCTGTCACTCTCTTTTCATTCACACTTTTCATGCCAGAATATAAATGAGATAGCAAGCGTTTATTCAGGTTGAGGGAGAAAGAAGTGCTATTTAAGCGAAGATTTCACAAGTTGATTTTAGAGCGTGTTTTGCTTACTTGAGACCACGTTATTACCGTCACTTAATGGCGCTTTAATTTTGTGAAGTGCTTCTAGCCATTAAATTTGTCTCGCCTGTTTTTCTGCAAACCACAGCTTTACCTGCGCGTTACTTTACTCTGTGAGACGTTAGTCTAATATTACTACATCTGATTTTAGTTCAACATTACGTATTTAAGTTAAGCCTGAAGTGTTCGCTTGTGTAAACCCAAGTTGGAGCATTTTTACTTCATTGTGTTCAAATAAAAGGGTGTTATACACCCTTCTTCTGACTTTTTTGTTTTTGTAATCATAAGACTTGAAGATAATTCTTCTGTAGTCTTTTTTGAGTGTCGATGGTGTATGCTTACTAAGAATACCAGAATTCATAACTTCATATCTTGAATGTATATGAAACTTCGTAACGAATCAGAATAACTGATTCGTTACAAAATTTATTAATGTTTAATAACCTAACTTTATTATTATTTTATTGTTTAATCATAGTATTCTTCACTTAATATAAAGAAAGCATTTATGAGTAACATAACCGAAATACAAATAGCTTTATAATTTATGTTGCTGTCAGTTTGTGGAAAAAAGAGACATTTCGCAGCCTGAGCTTTTGAGACTAAACTACCCTTTACTCGAGTCGAGCATGAGATTGTCGCACAATCCGCTTTACATTCTCTCCGTTACGCCATAAAAACACATAGAACGAATAACTTAATTTCTTTTATACCCTTCTGTACGGTTAAAGGCGACATGAGAGATGTCCTCTTGTGTGTCTCTCCAATCTTTCAGGCAAAGAATTCTTGAAAATAGACTGTGTCCTTCTAAAAAGTCAAACCGGGACCTTCAAATAACCGGTGTGATGTCTGAATAACACGACTGAATTTGAATCATTTAGGTAAAGAATTCTTGAAGAAAGATTGAGTCGTTTTCTAGAGGGGAACATGGGACCTTAGAATAACCTGTGTGCTATCCATTACACCTCAAAAATAAATTCCGAGAAATATCGTTCACGTATAGAAAAAGTCGGAAATAAAAGTAAAATTTTCTTACTTAATTTCTGTATGCTTCAAAAGATTAAGAAATTATTTTCTTTCTAAGTTTCATCTCTAAGCTCTTTGTTTTTCTTTCTAGGTTTCTTCTCTAACTTAAGTTTTTGATTAGTTTTTTGTTTTATTTTGATTAGACTAAAGAACCCGATGAAGAAGAGGATGATGAGGATCTAGAAGATATTTGTGAAGATTTACCAGTGCTTGAAAGCCAAAGAAATACGAATATTGAAATTTCTTTAGATGAGAGATTGTCTCCAAAAAATGAAAATCAAATGTCTCATAAAAATATGTGTATTGGGCGACAAATTTCAGCTGTAAGTTATTATGACAGACAGTCATCGGAAGAGAGTGGATTTGAGCGTCAGATATCGTCGGCGAGCAATAAACAAGAGATACCCATTGTGGTAGGTAACTAGTATTTATATACATTGATAATATTTCTCTCTACAGGTTCCTGTACTTTCATCAAACATTGTCTAAGAATTAAGTTTCTTGCTTAATTTATCATTTTCTTAGGAAAATACTGGATCCAGTAGAGGATCATTCCCGTGAAATAAAAATAAACAAGAATAAGAGAGATACAAAAGGCATTTTATTGCTCAAACAGAAAGAGAAAAACCTGCTATTTCGTTCCATCAATGTAGGCCCACCAGCGGCCGAGCGGTAAAGTGGCTGAACACTGGTAGTTCGGTCCGAGATTCGAATTCCGCAAACGGACTGGCTGCATGGGTGTTTTCGTGGTTTTCCCCATGTGTAACGTGTATACGAGCCAGTTTTCCTTAGAAAGTCCTCCACGAAAGGCATCCCTCCCGTTTGGCAGATAGCCCTAGTGGGCTTTGCCATAATTAAATACACCACACCGTTCCATCAATGTAGAACTGTCCTAGAAAAGTTCTGGGACACACTGTAAGACAAGGTACCTAAAACCTTGGTCCTTAATCAAAAAGTGTAATTCGCAGATACAATCGCTGTTACAGTACCTGGGTGGTTAATATTTCGGATCAAATAAAAACGAACATTTTTGGTCCTAAAATTTTCATCAGGCATTCAACGAAATTACTGATATTGCAACTGTTGCATAAGAAATCCTACTACAGACTGCTGCAGTTATTTGATTATATAGTTATTATGGCATAAAATCCTAATAATGTTATAATACGTCAGACCTAAAATGAGAAAAATTAAATTTACACACACACGAGTTAACAGATATGAAATTAAAATGTAAAATCAAAAAATGCTATTAAATATATCTTTGAAACTTATTAAAAGAGGTTCGTGATTATATCTGTAAAAACATTCATCATACTTTTGTTAATTACAATTTTTATTCATAATATTTTTAATCGCAGTTTTTATTTATAATATTTTTGCTAATTGCACTGGTATTTTGCTTTCACAATATCAGTGAGAGCATTAACTATGAAACAAAATCCATTGAGATATGAGTACTATCAGAATGCATAACAGAAAGCTGAAGAAGCATGCTAAAAAGTTATAAATAGAAATCATTACACACATATGTTACACAGCCTAACAACAAATCAAAGCAATGAATGAAAAGAATGATGAATTAATATACAAATGCATATTTTAAAATCACACTAGAAAACTAAATGAAATTATATACAAAAACATCTTTAAAGTACTTGAAAATAATAACATTTATCAATTAAATCTCTAAGATTAAGTTGAAAACGTACGAAATAAGGGCATCAATACGAATTAAAATTTGTGCATTCTAAAAGAGAGTGTTGAAAAGTTAGCTGGATTTCCCTACTGGCCTAAATCAGTACAATCTCTCTTTTCAGCAGGTGCTAATTAGTCAGCCTAGAATGACAGATTCTTAATCTGTACAAAAGTCTTATCCAGTTTCCATTCCTTAAATTATTCAATTTCCAGTCCTCAAGCTGGACTTCAGGCAATTCCAACTTTTTACTAACCAGAGCTTTCCAAACGTGCAAAACGTTTTAGCTATGCTTCTCAGTTTGACGACTTTGTGAATATTTTTGAGAAGTGATTGTCTTGAATTTTTATCTGTGATGTCCACCAACATCATCACATATGAAGACTGATCCGACACGTTCAGTTAGATCCATCCTTACAAACAAAAGTTGAGTCCTTATATTCAAAACGGTAGTCACTGAGAATATGTTGCAAAATAATTTTACTTGCATATCTCTTACGAAAATACCATGACGATTTCAAAGCTTTTGCACAGCTGACATGTAAGTCTTTTAATGCATACTCATCAATTAGCAGAAGAATCTGCGTACCAAATGGAGGCGCGTGTAATAATCGTTTTCCATAAAGTAATGCGTCAAACTTATCGGAGCAGAAAAAGTTAAAACAGATGAAATGGTTGTGGTATTATTCTGAAGAAAAAAATCTGAAAGGTTTCAGATTATGGTCGTTCAAAAAGGGTTTTGTTAAGGCTTTTTACTCTCTCGTTGAACTCGCACTCTACTCTGCTGTTGCACTCATTTCTGCTAACCCATTTCCTTTTGTCTTTCTAGCTTTATTATTAAGTATAATTTTCTTCGCACTTACTCCATACAACAGCAACGTTACTAAACTTTTAAAAGCAGCCCAGCACCCTATGTCTAGAATTCCCATGCAGTATTAAGTGTTAGCATACATTTTTACTAATTTTTCAGTCTTTTCTGAATTCATCATATTAATGTTCAGTTTGCTTAGTAACATGGCTTACAATTTTTTTTCTTTTTATTATAAACGTTTAGTGTGTTAGCTTTATTTATTAAAAATCACGTTCTTCGCGCTTAAAATTCTCACTAAAAATATAAAATTCAATTCCACAGCAAAATCACAAAATATTTAAAAATAGCATATCTTTAGAATTTCCGACAGACAGTCTCGCACGCTGGAGATAAAAGTATTTCACTCCGTAAAGTGTTGCCACTGCTTGCTAAATCGTTGAGTATGCTGATTAAAAATTCCTTGTGTTACAAAACATAAAATAACTAATAAACATATATATAACGTTATTCCATGAAAATTTGAATATTTTTAATTAGATAGATAGTGAATTAAACGCCTTTTTATTATTTAAATCAATCCGATTTAAAATTAAGAAACGAATGTTATTAGGAGCTGCATCTATTACAAATAGCTTAGCTAGTTAACGCAACACACAAATTCAATTTGAAAGATAAATAAATATCTTATATTATGCGAATGGCAACAGACTCGAATGAAAAGTGAAACGATGCATATATCCGACGCAAAATTCCGTTTCGTGATAAATAGCTCCTTTTGGATTAATAATAAATCATAGGTAACTGCTTACGTCTTAGCTGGAGCGATGGCTCCAAACATTACCATGCACAGATTTTGCACTAAAGATGTCCTATTTCCTAAAAATGAAGAATCGATCCTAAAAATCCTAAAAATGAAGAATCGAAGAACGCATCTTCTGATTTTTAAATGTTATATTGGCGTTATATTATAATACTGTTATGTTACAATAATGTTATAGTATATTATAATGTTATATTAGTATAATGTTAATAGTCGCATCAAGCGGTTACTCGAGTAACTTTGATATCTCGCTAATACACTTAGACGTTTTGTGGAAAAATAACCATGGAAGTATCTGCTGCACACTGTGCGCACATTCAATAGATCTAAAATAACATCCTCTGATTTTGTTGACGTGTGAAAAATTAACAAAGGAGGAGCAAAGAGCGTGCAATAAATAAAGAATAGAAGACAAACAAAATAATAACAGTGCCTCAAATTAAAAATAACTCTTGAACATAATTAAAAATTATCACTTGGAAACAATGCAGTGAATGTAATTCACATTTATAGAGTTCCGATGCCGATATACACAAAAGAAGCTATTGAAAAAGAAATTTAAGGACTTACTAAAAAGCTAAAAGTTTGCCAAAAAGTTTCAAATGCGGCTCTATATTAGAGATTGCTTTCAGGGTTTTATTTAGCACATATTAAACGTGACCTCGAAAAGACACTCGCGTTAGTTTATTACAAAGAAAAATAATTTGAAAATTGATAGAATTTAGTTCAGGTTTTTTAACTCAATAACAGTTACAGACGAATGGTCTTTCATCCGAAGTTTTCTGTTCCCTTAAATGATGAATGTCTTAACTATAATTCTTTTTTGGTTATTTGTTAAATAGTTAGTGTGCCGCCCCCTTATATCCGGAGTCTATTCATTATTCTAGACACCTTAACGCTCTTGACCGTGAAGTGTAGTTGAACAGTGAGTCAATCGCTTCTTACTGTGAATTAATTTGTCATATAATGTTAAGGCAGTGGCCTTAATTTATAGTAACAATACTTAATTTAGAATATTGAATAACCAGTGACCTATGGATGTACAGTTGTGATGTGATTTTCCTTATCAATATATAGATTTATAGTATATATGTGTTTCTTCATGATATTAAGGCCCCATTTTAGGGTCTGTTGCCACCTTTCCTGTGGCCTTGTCTTGGAAAAATACCTTTCTACAGCGATTTATTTGATTATGTCGTTACATTTGGCTAGTACACTCATGTTTAACACATGTGCGATTTTCCCTCGGAAAATATTAAATAAAAAAGCATCGGCTTGCTAATGAGGTCATAGACTCAGTCCTTTAGGCATTTATATGAGTATTTTAGAAAACGACAAAAACTTGGTTGCAAGTGAAAACATCGGCGGACGAAAGCATCGCGGAAAAAAGAAGGCAAGGGGCAAACGTCATCATATAAAAAAAATTATAGGAGAATAGAAACCAAGGAGAAAACAGCTGTTCTAAAATAGTGAGGTAGAAAATAAATCATTGCAAAACCTCGTGGCTAAAGAAAAGCACTGACTAATAATTACATGATAATAACATCGCAGACATATATTTTTTAGGTATACGAAATGTAAGTGAATATTTGCTTAATAGTTTGTCAATACAAGTTGAAATTATGAACATTTTTATATTTATTTTTCATATTTTTTATTAAATACTAACGTTTTACTAAAAAATCCAAAAAATATCGCCTTTGATAATTAAAGAAAATGATAAAGATTTATTAAGGTTGAAAAATTGAAATTACTTTTACTTTTAGTTTTGGGCAAGGCAGTTACAGAATTTGAGTAACGACTTTTGAAACGGAACAAGAAATTAGGTCTCTTTATGAAATTAAAGAGAAAATTTTAACACACAAAGAAAAAGTATTCTGGAAACAACTTATGTTGAAAAAAATGTTCAACAAAACAGAATTATGTGTTAAAATTTACCTTTCTTTTAAATTCTGGTTCCTTTAAAGTTATAAATGCTTCATTATTTCACAAACAACCATTTCTTATTTCTTATTTTGTAATTCGCATATGCCGTCTTTTCAAGATTTAAATTAATGATCTAAAATTCCGGAAATTTTTGGAAAACGAAAAGTCTAATAATACAAAAAGGTCTGGAAATTTGTCATAATACAAAACGTTTCACAATTTTTGTCATAATACAAAACAGTACAAGTTGCAATTTTTGTCATAATACAAAACAATACAAGTTACAGTAATACTACAGTTACAATTTTTGTCATAATACATAAAGTCTGAAATGAATTTGATTGTCTTGTAGAAGTACGTTGTGTGATCCAGAGTGCTAATATTCCAGGATTGTTGCCAGCGTATGATAAACCTTAAGTAATTGCCGCTGCTGATGGTATATGTTGTGCTCATTTCAAGATGAAAAACAAATTTTTAACCAACCTTCGAAACGAGCCAGTTTCCTTAGAAAACCCTCCACGAAGGCATCCATACGTATCTACGTGTAATGCCTTAGGGCAGAACACGTAGATAATAATAATAATACCAATCTTCCAGCCTTACCATGCTTTTATGTACACTTGTCTTATGGAATAGGAGAACGGATGTACAGAACATTTATTAATGGTTACTCCGTGAACTATTAGAGTATTCAGACGTTTCCTTTTGCATTAATCGTTCCTGTAAATGATTCTTTGATATTGTTTGCCAAATTTTATCAAATGATCTCAATTTCTAAACAAATCTGAATCTTTGTTTTCGAAATGATTATCATACAATTTTAATTTTGCTACCAATCACTTCTAAGCAGTGCGTTCTTTAAACAGGAAAGTATTAGCGAATACGGAAAGTGTAAATGTAAAATTAATGTAACTACTAATAAATTAGAAGAACTTCTTGGATATGTAACTTTTTTACGATCTACTGAAATATCGTTATATGCCATTGAAATGCGCCATAAATCAGAGATATTGTATTAACATTTCATGCAGGGAGATGATGAGAGTGAAGAAGACGAGAAAATCAATCCATCTAAGGTACGCCTTCTTAAAATTTCCGCGCCTGAATGGCCTTATGCTTTGATTGGTGGATTATCGTCTATGATTATGGGTGTTCACTTACCTATTCTTGGAATAATATTTGGTGATATTCTTGGGGTAGGTATTTTGTTTTTCTATTCGTTATCTAGTTTCGAAAATAGTTTTTTATATTGGGTTTTTATTTTTCTTGTTTAGAAGATAGAGATTTCATAAATGATCTTAGTAACTTTAACAAGTAATACGTTTTTTTAAAAAGAGTTAAAAACATAACTAAACACGTTGTTATAGATATAGATTAGAGATCAATAGCAGTTTGTATTCAATCCAGTTTAATTTGCTTAGAGGAGTATATATTTGAGACATAAAATCTATTTGGTTTAATGTATAACTCTCTGAGGAATTATAACCGTAAATTAAAAGTATTAGCAGTGATTTTAAATGAAAAGTCATTCACGATGAAATTATTATTATACGTATTAATTATTAACGAATTTCATTTGTTAATAAGTTGATTGTTTATTGTTATATTCTTCATTTATAATACTCGATACAAAATATTCTGAAATTGCAAACTTTTCAAATGTTATTATTCACAATTCCTCTAAAAGATATTTCATTGCGCTTTTTTCGTACGGGTGTTATATTAATATGCAACATATTTTAGGTATTTTCTCTGCCTCCGGATCAGATTCCTGAAAAAGTGAATTTCTTCTGTCTGCTTTACTTATTAATAGCAGTAACGGCTTTTATCTTCAGCTTCCTAGAGGTAATTATAATAATGCTTAATTTAACTTGGAAATTCATTCCTTATTTTCATTTTTTTATATAATCTTTTGTTATGGATGAACATTTCTTTAATTTTAAAATTTCTTTATTCAAATAAAAATAATAATAATTTTTTTAGACATTTATGCTTTCTGTTGCTGGTGAGCGGTTAACATCGAGATTGAGAAAACTGGTTTTCACCAATATAATCACGCAAGTAAGTTGAATACGTTTTGAGTACGCTGTACATAAACTAAATTAAAAAGTTCATGCTGTAAATAAAAATGAATAAAGATAATTGTATCATTAAATTTATATGGGATTGAATAAAGTGAATCGATCAGTATTGATCAAAAAATTAAAACTGTGTTGTTAATTTAAATTATGTGCCATAATTCTAAGAGGTCAAGGTGAGTGTTCGCTTTTCCGTAATTTAACACAACTAAACTTGAAAATGACTACTAACAAAGATATAACATAAAGAAAACTAATACTGAATGTAAAGAAAACCGCGCTGCTATATAAATGAAACTAACGTAAAATAAAGACAATTGAATGAAGGAAATAGTATTTGCAAAGAGACTAGAATTCTATTTTGGAAGTACTAAATTGTTTATTTACTCGAGGTTTACCATGTACTTGATCCATTTTTTATCTTTTTATAACATTATATTTTTGTATATTAATATTTTAGGTTTCAGTTTCAACTAATTATATTTCACTCAAACTGTATTTGTATTCAATAATATAAATAACGAAAGTACCTTGTTTTTCTTTCATTTCTATATACCAGTTGTGATGTATTTTCTTACTTTTTTGCATGTATCGTTTTAGTATTTTCACACCCGTTACATAAACTATATTTCTTTTATTGCCCTTTACCTTTATTTGTTATTAGTTTCCTTCTTTTCTTTCATATATTTAAGATTAGTTGAAGAATGATATGTTAGCTTTATTTGAAGGCATTTTAGTCTCTGTTAATGTTAGTCTAAATAAGTAACCTATATTCTGTTTCCATTATTGTATGCTGATTAAAATGTCTGCACAGAATTATTAATATTGAAAATTTTACTACAGCGACACCATATAGAAATGTCGTAGTAAAAATTATCATTATATTGCCTTGTAGGGACATTAGGTAGTTTTTGAAAAACTTAAAAAATGAGCAATGCCCTCGCCGGGAATCGAACCACTACACTACGAAGACATGCTAAGAAGGCGGGAGAAATACCTTACATACTCCTCCTTTTAAAGGGCGACTGGGGTTTAGGGGACCCTATCGCCAAATCCTGGTGGTGGAGAATCGTCATCCACTACCTTTTTTAGTTCGGGAGCCACTATAGAGACATTAGGTTATTTCAAAGCAATGAGGAAAAATGAGCAGTGCCTCGCCGGGACTCGAGCCACGAGCCTCTCGAATACGCACCGAGCGTGCTGACCAATACACTACGAGGGCATGCTAAGAAGGCGGGAGAAATATCTTATAGTCTGTTATACATAACGCACAGCGTATTGTATGAACTACATACGCTCATGGTATGCGTGCTTCTAAAATTGGTTCCCAGGTATATTATAAACTGTGTTAAAAACGTGTAGTATAAAATAATAAAATTAACGTATAAAATAGGAACTGAGATAGACTGAGATATCAGAAAACTGATATTCGTTAAAGAGGCCAAACAAGGAAAGCATCGGGAGTTTATTATATGATTTATATGATGCTACACGTGTTGATACAGACATTTAATTATACATTTTACACGTTGCTATATAGATACTAAATACGAATGCAGACACAGATACTAAATACTGCATTAAGATACTAAATACAGACATTAATCAGATACGCAGATACTAAATATTAATGCAGATATTACACAAATACACAGGTACTACATACTAAACACATACTAAATACGAATGCAGACGCAGATACTAAATACGAATGCAGACGCAGATACTAAATAAGAATGCTGATACAAATGCAAATGCAAACATTACACAGATACAACAGATACTAAATACACTACTACATACTACACAGACACTAAATACGAATTCAGACAGAGATTTTAAATATTAATGCAGACATTGCGCAGATACAACAAGTACCAAATGCGCTACTACATCCTACATCCTACATATACTACACAGATACTATATACTGATGTGGGCATTATGCTAAACATTTACATTTTGTTATACCGGTATTAGAAACTAAATCAGGTGCAGGTACTTGATACTACATAAATACTAAATACTTATGCAGGCATTACACAGATATATACATACTGAATACATAAACAGCCTACAATACATCAATGCACTAGGGAACACTAATCAGCGTGATACAGCGAGAAAGATTTTAGTTATTAGTCATAAAATTGACCGCATAGTATAAAGTGAATACTTCTAACTAGCAGGTAAACATAAATAAAAATTGTAATATTCACATCGTTGCATATATACCAAGAGTCGAACATGCATGCCATCGATTCATAGTTTACATACAATTTTTATACTAAGTTTATAAGCTATTTCTCCCGCCTTCTTCGCACGTGTGGTGGTCTGCACGCTGGGTGCGTATTCCAGAGGTCCTTGGTCTGTTTCCCGGCGAAGGCGTTTGTTCATTTTTCATCTCTCTTGCTTTCAAAAAATCCTAATGTCTCTACAGTGGCGCCCGAACTAAAAGGGTGGTGGATGATGGTTCTCCACCACCAGGATTTGGCGATTCGGTCCCCTAATCACCAGTCGCCATTTAATGCGGGGAGTATATAAGGTATTCCTCCCGCTTTCTTAGCATGCCTTCGTGGTGTAGTGGTCAGCACACTCGGTGCGTATTCGAGTCCCGTATTGCTCATTTTTCATCTCTTCTGCTTAAAAAAGAACCTAATGTCTCTACATCGGCGCCCGAAGTAAAAAGAATGGTGTATGATGATTATCTACTACCAGGATTTGGCGAAAGGGCCCCCTAATCCCCAGTCGCCCTTTAAAAGGGAGCGTATATAAGTTAATTCTCCCGACTTCTCAGCTCCGTCGGGGCGTAATGGTCAGCACACTCGGTGCGTATTCGAGAGGTCATTGGTTCGAGTCATTGCCGGCGAGGGCATTGCACGTTCTTCTTGTCTCCTGCTTCGAAATAACCTAATGTCTCTACAACTTAAACGCCCAGTTGTGAAAAAGTTTTAGGTCTGTTGCAAGTAATCCGATGTCAAGGAAGTTTTTTTACGTAAAATGGCATTCTACATTAACATTTTAGTGGCATTCCAAACCCTGATATTTCTTTATATTCATTAACGTAATAAATTTTTAATATATCTGAAATTATGCCCATCGGAAGTTATTTTTAAATATTTAGAATTCTTTTATTATAAATACATTTGTGTACACATAACCGAGAAAGATTATAGCATCATGTGATATAAAATAATTTCCTCTGATTTTATGTATGTGTGTTATTACAGGATATAGCTTTTTTTGACCATCCGAAGAACAGTGTTGGTGCTCTATGCTCAAGATTAACAAGGGATGCATCAAATGTTCAAGGGGTACGATTTAAACTTTTCTCTTAGAACAAGTGCATAAAATTCTTTACGTACTTCATTAATCTCAAATGTGAAATGTGTTTGAAGGATGAGTTCTTATTTAGATGAAAACATACATATTGTTCCGTTTTTTTTCCGACACCAGCTGTTACGTTATTTCTTCGTTCACGTTCGTACGGGGTCCGTGTGGATTTGGAGTGAATAACCACACTTCGAATACTTCGAAGTATCGAAACACACTTTATTTAGCCAATATTAATCAGGACAGCTCCAAAATCACGTTACAGTCGTCGAAGAACTACTCTAAATACGCTGACACAATCAACGACATAGCCTTCACACTGTCAGGCAATAACGGTAGAGACAGCTTCACTGCAAAGCACCAGAATACAGCTCCCGACTCTGCTCGGCCGTTCTCGGAACTTCACGTACTCTCGAGACTCTCCACGCCACAACTCGCGATGCACTCGACGACACACAAAGCACAGCTCCCGACTCTTCGGTTCAGTCGTTTCGGGAGCTCAACGCACTCTCTCAACGATGTACTAACCGCGATACGCTAAGAGACTCTTTCGATGCACTCGGACCCACTCGGCACTCGCTGCTCGGCTGTCAACTCGATCGAACTCCGCACGGACCGGATGAGATATACTATCTCACACTCTAGAATGAGGCACAACTAACTGACTGCGGACCATCAGGGTTTATATAGCTTTCGGCTTGTGTTCGAGAACATTCTGGGCTAAACCGGTAAGAATTCGTTCCAGAAGTTCTCCATCCGTCCATGGCATATCGCCAATTTTGTCGCCAAATGGGCGATTTATCACCAAATGTAGCAACTCTGCCTTTCTTTGCCATTTTATGGCAACCCTAAACCTGCTTTGCGGGGAAGCTATCCCACCGCGCCTGGACATTTCGTACCAATATTGTGGAGCAAGTTTGTGGGTGCGCGTCGTTCAGTATTCACTTTAGAAAAATTATTCTATATTATTCAGTTTGAATTCTTGTTTGCATGGAATGCGTACACAGTATTTGTTTTAAAATTGTCCTTTAAACTCTTAAACATGTATTCCTTATTCCTTTATTTCCATTTATAAATAGTGCTAACATAACAATTAGAGAAGTAAGTTCTTAAAATCTGTAATATAAGAATAACAAAATTTTGAAATAATAAAATTTATTTATATGATCTTTTATAGCAGTAAAGGCTAAAATATGTTCAGATGAACTGCGGATTTAAAACTGATAAAATTCAATAAAAATAGTTTAAAAGTTTGCAAGGTAAAATTGAATAATTTGAAAACGAAAATAGAATTCCCTGTTTCATGAATCCCAAAATTGCCAGTATGAGTTTAAGTGAAAAATAATTCGCTGAAAAATGAATTCCAAAATGATCTCAATTTCATTTCAAGAGAAGTATTAATTCCCTTCAGTTGAGCGAAAGTAAAAACTTGTAGTGTTTAGTTCAATGAATGGAATACGGTCAACGAATAGAATAAGATATAGAGTTTAAATAATAATTTTTGAATTGTAATGCATTGCGAAAACTCTTTTTTAAAAAAGTAAAAAAAAATTAAATTGTGAAGAATATATTGTATATAAACTAAAATGTATAGTAATTGCTGCGTTAAGTATACTGCGAGTAAAGTTGTGAGCAAGCTTAGAACAGAACTTATACAGGAATTTAGAAAAAATGTTACAAATTTTAGCTAACGTAGAAGAGTACAAAGGCAGAAAACGAAAAACATTCTCAAATGTTATAGAATATAGAACTCACTTAAGTGGGCTTTCTTGAGACGTGGAAGCTGAAACGGGCCCATTTTGTTGATAAAAGAGTTAGAAAACTATTACACAGTTTATTATAAATTATAACTAATGTTAGAATTTGGCAAGAATGCTTAATTTAGTTGTGTTAAGAACATCCAAATTATACCTCCAAAAATGGGTTAAGTATAGCTTATCACGAAAACAGCAATTTTGTGGTGAAAATAATTTTTAGATTGATAACTGTATCTTAGCAAGTTTTTTTTATGAAGGTTGTGTGGAATTTTGTTATCTTTTAGTATTTTAATTAATAAACTAACTCTTTTGCAAAATCATTGCTGTTATTGCAAATTTTTTTTATTCTTTTGAGTTTAATAATTTTTAAATATTTTTTTATAAAATAGAGTAATATTGTTGATATTGTAAATTTGTAAGTTCAGATAATCTCCTTCGGTTTCTTTTGTTAGTTTTATAAAAGCATTTAGAATACATAACTTATTTTTCAGCTTCATTGTAGTTATTAATGGCAATGATGCCATCAATGTACCTCTAAATAAATTTAAACATATTGATTAAGTTATGGAAATGAGTAAAAACTAATGTAATTATAAAATTTATTAGAAGTGTTTTTCCCATGAAAATTAGTTTAAACTACGGAAATTAAAAAAACTTTTAATCAGTATATTTATACATAAATATATTTACCCACTCACCCCACTTAGACGTCCTTACCAGACCTTTATTTGCGCAATCGTTGGTCGAAATCATATACTTCCAATTACAAAAGTGTTTCAAATTACAAAAATATTCACTTTTTGCCAATGTCGTATAAAAAAATTAATTTTCGAAAAACAACGAAATATAACTTTCAATACGATCCACCGATTCCTGTACTTGTACTTGGGAAACTTTTATACTCGGTTATGAAAAAATAGGATTATAAGAAGTTTGACTCTCATATGATAAAAACTGACCGGGATATTTAATTTCATTATTTGCAATTTTTAATGTCATTATCAACCTGCCTTGGAGGCTATGTTAAATTAGAAGTTAAGTTAGAATAATTCGAGGAAATAAGTTTAAATGAAGTTCAGCAAAAAAAATTTATAATTTAATAGGCCATACAAGGAAGTCATATGCTATTCGCATCAGATAGTTTAGTTTCTGGTTTATGCAAATTTTATTGGTGCAGATCGTTCTCTTCAAAATGCTTTAGGAAAAATATAAGCTGTAGTGAAGTTTCATTAAAGATGCATTTATTTTTAACTTTTTAGGTACAGAGAAAGTTTAACTAATTTCATCCAGATTAGAGAACAGCTAACCATTTTTACCCACTTCTATTTAAAGCAACTGTGAGAAAAACCATCTAGGCCCAACTTTGTATTAGGTGAGAGACACAGGTTCGTCAAAATTATTCCTCAGCGAAACATCTTGCCGATCTACAATCCGATTTCGGGAAGGCAATGTCTCAACAAGCCACACAGGGTTTGAAGATGAGAGAACTGATGTCTTCTAATTACTGGCTCTTCATATTGCCTGCCCAGATAAATGGCAATTACAAATCTGGTTCGTGTATAGTATTTATGCAAGAATCGAGACTGTCAGAGTACAGATCTCAAGCAGTGAATAAGCAACGCGGAAGGGGTAGAGAGAGTCGAGGGAATGGAAAATGAGGAACTGGCAGGCCTCTTCCTCTGCCGTTAACCCTTTGCGGCACAGTGTGTCCGGTCTGGACACAACTAAAAATTTTCTTCTGTACGCACAGAAAAAATTGAATGGAAAAGGATTTATAGGTTACTATAGGTTAACTCTGAACCTTCTTTTTTATAGTAGATGGCAGCTCAACACAAACCAGTCCATATATTTTAGCCATGTTTAGTTTTTTAAGACCCTCATTTTTCAGAGAAATCTTACAGATTTTTTTAGGGTACAAAAGGAATTGTTTGAAAAGAAATTTCTCTGTTATTTTTGGCTGTATGCTAATCTCCTTATTCTATATTAGTTTTAAACTTTTACCTTGAAATCTTGCCTAAAATCAAACGGCGAACCCCAGGTGTGCCCAGACCGGGCTCACCGATAATCTAGGACAACTGAGAGTCTGTATTCTTTGTTTCTACGCATCTCATCGGTCAGTTCATTGACAACAATGATCGTTTCAGCACTTTTTTCGAAGCCCTATTCAATCAGTGTGCCAATTTGGACACACCCACAGAATTAAAACGATAAGTGCTATCTTCACAAAATTTTACTTGTGTACTCCTGTAGGCCTAATTATATTGACTACCTTTTTTTTTTTTAAATCAAAACTCCGACTTTAAAAGGTAGCGTGCCGGAAAGGGTTAAAGAGACTAAATGATCTTTAGATAGGTCTTTCTTTTTTTTGGTGGGGGTATTGTTTATTTAATTATGGCAAAACACACGAGGGGTACCTGCCTAAGGGAAGTGATGCCTTCGTGGAGGACTTTGTGAGAACATAACCTTATTATTGTGCCTTATTATTGGACTTTGTGTGTGATTTATACCTCGCTTTACATGAAGAAAACGAGAAACACGTTTATACTGTGAGCCCGTTCGTCGTGATAACTTTTATAACTATAACTTTATTTATAAGTTTTCTAATACTTCCCTTTGTAAAGGAACTACAATTGTAGATGTGCACGAGATTGGAATTTGGGCGAAAAAGCTAAGCTTAGTCATCTTCTCGTAGAATCTAAACCATCTGGGTGGGCCTTTCTTTGTCGAACAGTTAAATGTTTCATCGTTAAAAAGTGAAAGGAAACGCATAACAATATCGAATTTTTAATGATTGATTAGTTGAAATATAATTAAAATATCAAAACTGATAATTAATAATAATTTTTAAAGCACAATTAATTCTACAATAGTAAGCATCTATTTGCTTTTAATCCTATTTCACAAGTGCAGTAACTCATATTACGCTTGTTTCGGAATGTGGATTTAGGCTGAATTTATTTTCATTAACTAACCATTACTCTTATTTGAAATCTTAATTATGTTAAATTTAAAGTATTAACCTTTCATATTTATTTCAGGCTACTGGAGCAAGGATTGCAACATTACTGAATGCCATGTCCACATTTATAGCATGCCTTATTATTGGTATGTTGTATAACTACAAAATTGGATTAGTTATTTTTTCCTTTGCGCCAATTATGTTGGCAGCGTTTTACTTAGAAGGTCGAGTTATTAGTGATCATTTGTCCATCGAAGACGATGCATTCGAAGCAGCATCAAAGGTACGGTTATGTTTTCACCTTACTCAGTTTTTAAAGTTTTCTCTGCACAGGAAATTTCAGATTTAGTTTCTGATTTATTCTTGACTGATCACGAAGTCACTACCAGTTTTGGAGTCAGAAACATGTATATCCTTCCAGAACCAGTGGTCTTCAAACTTTGGCGATTCACAGAACCCTTAGAACTGTAAGTTTTTTTTTTTTTTTTTTTTTTGTTGTTGGAGGACCCCATCCAACCCATAGAAAATTATATCTTAAAATAATATTTAAAGAAGATCAATATATTATAGGTACTTTATGTAAAAACAAAAAAGTACCGAATTTTTGATTAAAAGATTTTAACATAATATATAATAGCATCTTCAGGTTGTAGGGTCTAATAAATTATTTTAAATGTGAAACCTTTCCTGAACCGCTCATTTTCCCCTCGCATTTCCTTGCCAGGATGCAAATTTAAAGTTAAGTTATCAGGACTGGTTGATCGTCTAATTTGTTTAGGGAATATCTAATGTCCTGAATGGGAACAGGGAGCTTACTCAAGCTATTTTCAAGTATGTGTGGAATGGACAGCACAAGCAGGAAGGGTTAACTTTACCCTTTATTATCCACGATATACAAAGACCAACCACTTGTGGTCTGAACGTAAAAATATGAGAACTACTAAGTAACTAAAATAAGAGCTGAACTTTTAATACTTTACACAGATGACTAACACTAAGGTTGGCCTTTCAGACTATTATGTATGTAGAACGCAAACTGCGGAAAACTGCAATATGCCTTAGATATCAAGAGGACTAAACCTCTGGCTTTAAAGGCGGACAGCAACTGATTGAAAGCTCGCGTGAAGTGCAGTGGCAAGGAGGCTCACTTTCTATCCATCTAACTCTGTTCTTGGCAAAAAGCCACTACTTAAATACTTACAAAAAGTACAAATTGCATAAACAATTTAACGCGTTTATTCTGGCCGGAAGTGGAAAATAAGAGAGAACAGTAAAGTTTTAAAAGAAAATAAACGTTAAATACTTACTTCACTTTGTAAGGTTAGTCAAACAAACCTTACAAAATGAAGTGAGTATTTAAACGAGTGAATCTTGTAGTTTATTCAGATCGTGTTTTTGCTAGCCAGCGTACGTTACGAGCCTGTCCTTGCTGTTACGCGAAGTTGCTGATACGCGTTTTTGGCCATTAGCCCAGCTGTACTCTTTTTTAATTTATTGTGTAACGATTAGGTTCCATCGCAAGTTCTCGGTTGTATATAAGAGTACTGTATATGATTTATATATATATATATATTATGAATAAATATATATAGTAATTTATTATGTACTCATATTTGGCATTACATGGAAGAGGAGGGATGACCCATGGAGTACGTTTTAAGATAAACTTATCCACGCTTACACATGGAGAAAACCCCGAAAATGCCCATGCAGCCAGCCCGTTCGCCGGGACTCGAGCTCCGTACCGAACTGCCAGTATTCAATGGCTTTTAGCGCTCGGCCGCTCGTGGGTCTATCGCAGTACTCGAACGAATTTTTTATCCAGTCATATTTAATTTTCTATTCTGGGAAATATTTTCTTATAGTTTTTTTTTTTTTTCAATTGAAAAAGGTATTTAACTATATAATTTTTCACATTGCGATTTAAATGTAATTCATTTTCCGTTAGAAAGCAGTTTAGTTTGCAAAACATTTCACATCATTTTCTTTACCATGTGTCAAATTATTATTTTGGCTTGCGAATCGCCAGGGTTTCGCGAAACGCAGTTTGATGACCAATGGTCATAACTAATCATTTATTCGCTTCGCATTACATTGCGGAACATCAGAATTAATCATGCATACGAATTTACCAATTCTAAACCTGTCTTTCGGAAGAAGCTCTAATTTGTGTTAGAAATTGTAATATTTATATTTTATATCAAGTAAACAAACGTATATTTAACAATATGATACCTGTTCCCTAATAATTTTGCTGTTAGAACGTCTTCAGTTTAATTTTAACATTTTTCGCATCACATCACCGGTCACATTGTAAGTTATTAAGCTCTTCTGTGTTTTTTCTCGTGGGGTGAGAGGTTAGCAAATGGAAACTCCATGTTCAAATTCCGGGGAGAATATATTTAATTTATCACAGTTCTTAATTACGAAATGTTTATGGTTTCTTCACAGATACCCGAAATAAAATGCGGGTGAGAACAACACGTGATCATCTGAATTTGGTCGACTTGATGTCGTGCCTATTTCCACTTGTCCTTTCTTAGGGGAGAATATAGGCAGTTATCGCGTTCTTTCATGCGTGCTTTTGTGGTGTAAGTTGCTTTTGTGGTGGTTCATGTAGTTATTTTAAGACCTTTGATTTGAATCCTGGAGAAAGCATAATTGATTTTCGATGTTTCTTCCTCCGAAAAGCTGATATGTCTTTGCAGTAGCACCCAGATAAAAATTTGGTGGACATTTAACTTTTTAGCACTTTCGACTATAAGAGTGTGGCTCATGGTTCTCCCCAGTTACCGTTTGGAAGGTTGTAAGGAGTTAACTCATTTCTCGCACATGCTTTCATTTGTTTATCTAGCTAACGAATAGATGATCCGTAGTGTGAATCTAGTGAGGGGGGAGATAAGCTTTCATGTTTCCTTTTCGAAGAAATCTTAATGATCTCTACAAAGTTAGTTTATGATGTTATGCCGCAGCAATTATCATCCTAACAAGCTGGTAAATTGCCAATGATGTATGATGTTGCCATGTCAAGCGACTTAAGAGCTTTATTTTATCTTTCGATTTAAAATTGCGCATTGCTGGCATTATTTAACAAGCTGAGCAATTGGCATCATTCTACTTACTTTTTAAAAGCAATTTACGAGCTTTAAATCATTTATAAGTTTTTATTTTAGTCTTTTTTTGCTAGTCTATTTAATTGCTGTAATCAATACATCGTTTAACTAAGATAAGTTACGCAACATATTTCATAATTATTGCAAATATTTGGACCAATGTTGTAAATACTATTAGATGTAGCATATGCCATATTGTATGTACCTCGGATTTAATTATACTCTTTTGCAAACAAATATATGCACCCAGAAAGATTTGAGTCACAACTGCGAAACTCGGCAGTTCAAAAAACTGAGGAGAAAAAACCTTTTGTTTACGAGTAGCAACACAAAGAATGCGAAAATCAATAGATGTATTAAAGCCAGCCCTGGCAGCTCTATAAGCTGATTCTTAGTTAGGCAAGGGGTTTATAGTTGTTGTTTATATGTTGAACAAGGGGTTTATAGCAAGTTAAAAGTGACCCTTTGCAGTAGATTGTGGCACATATAGAGCAACTAGTCACCCACTTGGGCCGTATTCGTACACGGCTGCATTTGTCTGCCCAACATACCCTAAACATGTTGGATAGGCGACAGGTTTGAAGACCGGGCAGGCCAATCGAGGATATTAACACGTCGAAAGTATTTTTGGGAAATCATACTGTATGTTGTCGAACCTTTTATTGCTGGAAAACACAAGCTGGACGACCTGCTAGCATCGGCTGCAAAATATCGTCAACGTACCTGCTAGCTGTAAGAGTACCTGAGTACCTTGCAGCACGACTAACAGTGAACAACTGTCCCAGCTGATAGTTTCCCAGACGGTCACACCCTGTGTTCTAGTTGTGTGCTATCGGTAGCAAATGGTGCATTGTACCGCTCAATTCTTCGTCTCCAGATATGTAAGTGGCGGTAACATCAGCATTTAGAGAAAAGCGTGATTCGTCGCTAAAGATCACATTTCTCCAATCGAATACTGTCCAGCTTGACAGAGCCACCATAAAAGACGACACTGCTTATACTGAAGGGTCAATCGTCTTAATGGATGTCTAGATCTGAGTCCAATATCACCTAGTCTTCTGCGAGTCGTATACCTAGGTATTCCGGGATATCTGTGAGTTGGTAAATGATGTAGAATCGATGATAGCATAAACGTTGGTGCGGACTTGGCAGTTGTGGCTCATTTTTTCCTGGGTGCTTGTATTTTCCTGCAACAGAGTGTATTTGCACGACATCTGACAGCACAGTTTATTTACAAATAGGTAGGTTACTTTAAAATTTATAAACACACGAAATTACCGTTAAAATTAATAAGCACTGTTTTTCGTGCTATACATTCTGTGCCCGATTTCAGAATAACGTTTGCTTGGTAGCTAGCAGCAGTAACTGTTTTAAAAATATTAAATTTATAAATTTAATTTTTTAAATCATATTTACTTGGTGTATTTTATAATATGCCTAACTCGCCGTCAAGTCGAAATGAAATACGTAAGAAAGGCAACTTAAAACATGTAGAATTATTTACAAATAACGCAATATAAAGAAATTACGCATATTTAGATAGAAAACTATGTCAATGTCAAATAGAAGAAATTTATCACATTTTATAATTATGGGTAAACCTCTGATATAATAGAAGTTATATAATCCTTCTTAAAATTATGCAGATACAATATTCGCACGATTCGTCAAAATTTCTTGAAATTTTAATCAGTTGTTTCAGCGAAATCACTCATGCAAGCAGGAAATTCACATAGGTAAAAAAATTATTAAACAAAGTAATTTAAATATAATACGGTAAGATACAATAAAGTCACGTAAAGTACGTATTGACGGCGAATCAGCCAGACATCGCATCGGTCCGACGGCGAAATGGCATGTCGAAACTGCAGCTGAAATTGTCTCATTCCCTATTATTCCCTATTTAACGCTACATATTATGGAATGGGTTACATAATATCCATTTGTCTGTTGCCTGTCATTGCGTTTATGACCTAGTCTTCCTTACTAATCTTTGATAGCATTGGAGATGGTTGACAGAAAACTAATACTGCATAAAGATATAACGTAATCTTTGATACTGTAATTAGATGCAAAATTTCAAAAGGAAGACGCTATTGAAATTACCATAAACTAATCAGAAATAAAAACTATTACTTATGACAAATATATCATTCATTCTAAAAGCACTGTTCTAACATTTCATTAAATTTCTGTTCTCAGATACCTGCAAACTATGAGATTCAGAATCATCAACTAAATATTGTTAGAGAAACGAAAAGTAACACACCCTGTTTTTCCTTTAAAAATATTTGTAAAACAAACAAGCACAATATGCACACAATGAAACTACACATCTTGATTATTTTCGGCTAATAACATAGAGTCTGGAAATATTTCTTTTATCGTGGCACCAGTTTTAGGATACGTTGTTCTCAGAAACCCAATTTCTTCACCTGAATCAAAGCGTTACGTGATATTACGGCACAATGTTTCGTTTATTAGTGTCATCTGCACTTGAGAAAAATGTCTGTACGGCTACAAAACAGATTTTAATAGTACTATTTCACGAACTCATAAGAGTTAAGCTTCACATTTTCCAAATAATTTATAAACTTCGGTAATTTTGCTCTTTCTTTTCATACCATAAATGAGTATATGAACTGCAAAAATTTTTGATGTATTCAAATAAGATATCAAATTAGTTCTCGTGTTTCTTCATATTGTCCGGATTTTACCTTCAGGTTGCCGTTGAAGCAATAGAGGGCATACGAACTGTGGCATCTTTGCATCAAGAGGAGATGTTTTATAATAAGTTTAGAAAGGAACTTCTTGAACCTCACAGGTAAGAAAACTGCTGTTTTTGATATATTTTAATGTATGTAACGTTAATTTTTTGAAAAACGTAATGACAGAAATCTAAGCTAAATAAAGCATAAAGCGTTTATACCAGAATTAATTAGAAGTATCCTGAATAGATTATGCTGCATTAACCGGTATTTTCAGTATTTATAGGAAATAATAAATACTAAAAATATGTGAAGTATTTTAAGTCTGCTTATTAAAAAATTCCTCGCTGTCAAATTTCATAATACCGACGAATATCGAAGATTAATCAGTTTGCCCGAGATGAATGATAATATTTGTTAAATGGAGGTATTTAGTTAATTTAGAAGAATGAAATACTAAAATTACCTTCTTACTCTCATATGAAGATCTGTATTTAGCATATAAATCAAAGATATATTATGTGCAGGTTACAAATGCAAACTTAAGAAGTAATCTTTCTTTATTATTTTGAGAAGGTATAAATGTTTAAATCCAGATTTGTTTCAAATATTTAAGTCTAATAATTTCTTATAAATTATCTAAATACTGTAATACTTTATCTTCTATTTCATGCCTCATTAACAATTTTGGGCGATTTCTAGACCATTAAAAGCAACCCTGAAAGTGATTTGTTGCTTGCGCCATTATTCCGTTAACTTAGAAAGATGGCAAGGCCAACATTTTTCTCACTCAGGTTTTGAATTGAGGATTATCGCGTGTATGAGCAAGAAATGTATGATAGCTGCCTCTGTGGCTTACTTTCAGGAAGAATCCATTAAAAATTGAAAAAAATGGGGAAAACTTTGAGACATTTTTCAAAGATCATTAAATAGAGAGAAAATATTTCTTAGATAAAAGAAATTAATTTTGTTTGTCTTTTGGTTTTACAAAAAGGAAAAAAATATTGAAAAGAGAATAGCGTTAAAACTAGATTCGTTAAATCCAGGTTCATCTCTACATCTGAAATTAAAAGATGTCTTCCCTGACACGTTAGACACCTAAGCATAATTAAACTTAAATTGAATCTTCTGTAAGTTGTTCATTTAGAAAGAGTAGTTTCGCAAATGCTGTAGAGTTCCAATTATTCGACCTTGAGTTACCCGATATGTCTTTGAAACTTGGTGCATAATTTAGAAATTTCTAATATTATTATTACTACTGTACATTCAAAACTTAATACATTATCCACGTTGCTGCAGAGCGAATGACAATTCTCAGAGAAGTCGTCAATAGCCAGGAATATGCAATCTGTTCTAATAATTTACGTGTATTGGTTATTCATGGCGTTTTTACTTCTTTTTCCCTAATTCTTTGCGTTATTTAAAGCAATAAAGCAACCGATTTGGTGTAGATTTTGAATAAAACTCTACTGATTTTGAGGGCGGTAAGCCATAGGACCCCCCCCCTCTTTTAAAAGCGAAAATTTGCGCCTTCTTTGCAATTTAAAATTTTCAGCATAATCATTCGCTAATTTCTTTTTTTTTCCCAGCAAAAGCGTTTTGGTTTTGAAGAGGTGCTTAAGTTTTGCAATGGCCTGTTTCTATCGCATTCTGTATAGTGTTAATTCAGATTTTCGTGCTTTGATTCAGAATACCTGTTTTCCATGTTCTGCATCAAATAAGCGTGAATTAAAAAATGGACAGAAGTGATCGTACAAATGAACTGGGGATGTTTTTTTTAAATTTGGACAACACTGCAGAACAATCGTATTAGTTAGTGTTTTTATAATTCAGTTTGATTTTACAGATCATATACACGAAAATCTGGTTTTCGGCTATATGTTCCCATCCTCCTTTTTACTAAACTCAACCTGCAGGTTGAGTTTCGTAAGAGATACCAAAGCCAAATTTATTTCAGAGATTACACATAGTATCCATGTTAATTAATTTGAAATACATCCTTCTTTGAGGTGTTCGATGAACGATAGATCTAGAAAACACTCATTCCAGGGTAACAAAGCAATAAGATGGGCTAAGAAGAAAGCTTGAACATTGCGTACAACATATTGTCCCGCACTGTCCTGTTGAAATGTGGCCGCAGACAATCCCTGAAAGTAAAGGAAAAGGACCTGCAAAATCTCAGAGATATAGCATTGCGGGCGTGAATCCAATATCACTTTACACTATAACATTGGATGCAGGGCCAGTTTAACGATACATAACACAACAGTGAGCACTTTTTCTCCACAGAGTCTCCAAACTCTGATCCAAACAAAACCATCGTGATACTGCAGGCAGAAGTGATTCATTCAAAAACACAATGTCATGCGATTCGGATGTCCATCGCCGCCGTTCAGAGTACCATTGCAAATGCAAACTCTTGATAAAGGTAAGCCAAGCAATGGACGTCTAGCGCACAGACCATTGTCCTGCAAACGGCGTCGAATTATTTGTGCAGACACCGATCGAGCTACAGACTGCACTCGTCGCGATGTGGCAGTGCGCTCCATATTATGCGCATAATATGCCTATCTTCCGGTGGAGTGGTCTGACGGAGTGCTTGCAATTGCTCCTGTCCATCAGTCGTTCCCTTCCTGCATCCACCGATTCCATATTTATGTGACTTCTCCTAGGTTACATCCGACACAATGATCGATTTCTCAAAAGGATAATTCACAGTCTTTGTGTCCAACGAGTATGCTTCGGTCGAACTCAGAAAAGTATTCGAATGATGTTCGCGTTTCTCTACTAGGCAAACTGAAGCTACATACAAAAAAAAAAAAAAAAAAAATCTTACATGAGAACAATTCACGTTATTCAAAATGACAGTCTGTCATGCTTCTGTATACGGATTCTAAGGACTGCTGATGTTGGCCAGATGTGCCTTTGCACAGAAACCATAATCATTTGCATACTCCATCGCGGTATACACATGATGCACGATTCATGGTGTTTAGATGATTCCTCCATGATGTCGAATACCGCTACATCTTGCATATCCCGGATAATCGGTTTCGATAATATCTGTGGCTGTTTGAAACCGGATTAATGAAGGAATTAAATGCGTAAGTAAAATTTGATTATTGGTTTCAAAATCTATTTTCTCCTTGCGTATCTATAAACAAAACGTGATTAAGGCATTCAGCTTCATAAGAAACAACTTAAAAAATTGTTTGCTTCTTGAAATTCATTTTTTATTCCCTAAAAATCGCAATATTTGTACGAAATATTTTTTTCATTGGCATTTGTTCTCCACACATGTGTTTGCAGAAACTAGTTGTATTGCTTATCGTACGGTGAATTGCAAGGTTACTTTCAATATTGATACTATTTTCTATAATATATACTGACCATATTTCAATCATTACAGTAACTTTTTATGATTATTTTGCTATTAGATCTTGTGCAGGCATTAATTAATGTTAAATTTCTATCCTTTAAGAATGTAATAATGAAAAATAGAAACTTAAAACGGAAATTATATTGACAGAATCTAACTCACTGAAATCAAATTGTTGTGCAATGTCCGCTATGCTATTAATGATTTTGTACAGCGATTAAGTACTTATTTTATAAGCTACTGCTAACGTCGTCTTAGCATGCCTTCGTGGTATAGTGTTCAGCACTCTCGGCTCGTATTCGAGAGGTCCATGGTTCGACTCCCGGGGAGGGCATTGCTCATTTCTCATGTCTCTTGCTTCAAAAAAATTCTAAAGTCTCTACAACTTGAAGCAGAAAACCTGAAAAGTTAGAGATGTCCTAGCTGGGACATCAACTCCAGACCTTTCTATTATCCTATAAAGTATCATTTAAGTTGCTAACCAATTATTTTATGTCAATACATCTTCCTGTTGATGTCGTTTTTATTTCTCTACCGGAATTGAAACTTCTAGCTCGCGCGATATTCAAATGAGGTTGAAAGTAAAGAGTAAAGGAAGGCTTTAGAGGGTAAAATCAGAGCATGTTCTGCCTGCTTGAAGACCACGTTGCTAGAATTAATTCTTTCGTGATTAGTATTCTGCAGCGTTCCGTTATTCTTACCATTAGACTTGTTTAGGCCGACTTCTATCAGAGCAAGCTTGCGCGTTATTGGAATTGTGAAGCCGTTAGGTTATACTTATTCTCCTTAATTTTAGTTTATTCATTATCCTTAAGTTAAGCCATAATTGTTGGTCTATATAAGCAAAAGTTGGTGTAGTCTGTTTAACTTTATTTAAACTAATAAAAGGGATCTTTACACTCTTTCCCTGTCTGCGTGGTACTTACAAAGCATAGTGATAATTCACTACTAGTATCTACAACGTTTCGTTCATTGTATTGTCGAGTCATTATTATTTTTGAAGTTGGAAACACGAAAAATGAGCAATACCCTCTCCGGGACTCAAACCTGGACCTCTCGAACACGCGCCCAGTATGCTACTTTTGCACACTGGAGGAGAGAGAAAATGCCTTATATACTTCCCCTTTTTAAGGACGACTGGGGATTAGGGGAGCCTAGTCACCAAATCCTGGTGGTGAAGAATCATCCACCACCATCTTGTAATTCGGTGCCACTGTAAAATCATTTAAGAATTTTTTCGAACCAAGGAAATTGGAGAAATCTTCAATACACTCGCTGGGATTCGAACCCTAGACCTCTCGAATATGCGCCGAATGTGCTATCGTTACACCACGAAGGCATACCGAAAGGAGGGAGAAAATATATACTCCTCCGTTTAAAGGGCAACTGAAGATTTGGGGACCCAATCGCCAAATCCTGGTGGTGAAGAATCATCATCCACCACCTTTTTTAGTTCGGGCGTCATTGTAGATTCATTAGGATTTTTGAAGTAGAAAACACGAAAAATGAGCAATGCTTCGCCGGGAGTCGGACCTGGACCTCTCAAATGCGCGCCGAATGTGTGCCTTTGGACCACGAAGGCATACTAGAAGGAAGGGGAATATACCTTATAGTTTATTAGCAGAAAAGACGAAACGTCACAACTATTTCATTTAAAGACAATGCTGTAATTTTTATCGATATGTAAGCTCTCGGAATAAATGCAATCAGAGTGGATCATAATATTATAAAACTGCCATCTATTATTCATAATTATTAATTCCCATTCGTAAATATTGTGTTTTCCCCCTTCCTAAAGATGTCTGCTAATTTTTGAAGTGTCATTGCATTACGAATTCAAGCTATTTGTGTCATACGTATCACGTAACTGGGTTATGAAATATATATTTCTCACGATGTTTTCAGTGTAACTTCATTTAGTTCATTAGTGGCCGAACGATAAAACAGCTGAAAACTAATAATTTGGTTCTTGGAAAACGAGCTGCCTGCGTAGATATTTGCATGCGTTTCCCATTTTTAAGGTAAATGAGAGGAGTATGTTTCTTTTCAAAAGTCCTCCACGATGTCATCCTTCTGCATCCTTCTGCTTAACTCTTGTCATAAAAATAAATACACAATGTAATTTCCAAGTACATACAAGAAACAAGAATTTTTGCATGTCTACTTTAAAACTGGTAATGATTAACAATCCACTGCTACTGGTGAAAATGGCGCATAAAAGTGCCTTTCATATTTTATCGCTTACTGTCATTTTGTATTTTTTTCTTTTCGGTGAACATCTATCATTCACGGTCCAACAATTTCGAAACGAGAATGGTAGAAAATTACGTGATGACGGGAAGTTACACTAGCGAAACATTTTACTGTCATCAAGCAGGTCGATGAAATAGACTTCCATTCTTCTCTTCTAACATTTAATGCTCTGTAATTTACTGTATGAAACTATTTTAAAATATGATTGTTGCTATTTGACTGTAAAATAATATGCCATTTTTAGAATTTTTTTGGAAAATATTACAAGTTTTATTTTATTTATCTTCCAGAAAGTCTCGATTAAAGTCCCATGTTAGAGGACTGATTTATGGATTTGTCCAGGCAATTCAAGCATTTGCTTATGCGGCCGGAATGTATTATGGAGGTATCCTTGTAGTTAATGGCGAACTTTCGTATTCGAATCTTTTGAAGTGAGTAATCAGATATTTGAATATATATTATCAGTTCCTGTTCATTTGAATTAAATGCAACTGCTAATTTTTTCCTAGCTTAAAAATTTTGAAGTTTGGCTTCCTTAATAAAGTATTATGAAATTTTCGTAGTGTTAAATGGCGTAGTGCAATTATTTTCGATTCATATCTCAAGATCAGTGGAATTATTTAATACTTAAAGTATATAATGTTAAGAGGAAAATGCCCCTATGTTTTATATAAAACGGTATCGATTTCAAGGGCAGCTAGAAAAATTCTCCGGAAATGTTTTGAGACTTGAAGAAGAAGCAACTCACTCAGTCACTCTCGAAATCAACATATATTTATTAAAATTTTTTTAAGCAATCTAAGCCAATTTATTAAAATCTAAGCTAAAACTCACACTGCATAAATTTTTAAAAACCTGCTGTGGGCACTACATGATTTCTCCATATGGCCTATTAAATATTATTTTTAGAACAACAATAAACAAATTTTAAGTATTTTTAGATATTTGGAATAAAAAGCGCTGATATTAAATAGTGTTAAATGTTTTTTGTTAAAGTAACTACATATATAAACTGCTATTATATATTGTTTCGAATTTTGTATATTGATGATTTTGGAAAGGTAAGAAAGAATACAGGCGCAAATCTATTTAACAGAGTAAATGGCTATCTCGCTGAATTGATGAGATATCGCCAAGCTGGCAATGGTTTTGGCAACTACTTTTTGTCGCCTAATAGGGCGAGAAATCACCAAAATTCGCCAAATTGAGCGAGTATTTGCCGACATTTTGGTCGAGTTTCTGTAAATAAATTTTATAACAATACATAGTCTATTGCGAACCCGTACGCGGGCAACAATATGTAGTTAGATTTCGTTATTTATCAAAAATGACTTTTTTTTTTTTTTTTCAAATTTGGCATTGGTAAAACATGTCTATTTTTGTCATTTAAACAGCTTCTGTAACTGGAAGTATATGACTACGACCAACGATTGGAAAATAAAGGCCGGGTAGGGACTCTTAGGGTAATGTTATAGGAATCCCATATCCAAAATTTCAATGTTCTATGGCTAATCGCTTTTGAGTTATGCGTGATACATATATACGTACGTACGTACCGATAGGACATCACGAAAATATCCATTTTGAATTCATTTTACCATCCTTTGTCCGTAAATACATTGGAGCAAAGAGAAGGGGTACCCAGATCTAGCTAAAGAAGCCATACACAGTTAAATGCCCTAATCTTTGGAGGTGATCCGAGGAGCCCCCCCCCGATCATCGCAAAATCTAGGTAAATACAACGCTTAATCAAAATCGTCAAGGGATCAAGTCAAGGGGTCTGTCCCCCAGTGTTGACCCATGTAGGTAGGAAGTTTATTCTTATCTCCATGTGTTGGCCAGGTAAGGCCATTCTTCCCAGACAACCTTGTAAATCTAACCATATAGTGTTCCCACAACCAGGGGGCAAACAAGCTGTACCAAATGGTCCCTGCTGAGCCTGAACCTACCACCTTATAAACGATGGTTCTAGTCACTCTGATGACATTTAATTGTTCTCCAAGAGGTCCGTAAGTACAGATGTCAACCAAAACATTTGTCCAAATGGATTCGGGAACGGTCAAAATAGATATTTTCTTTGAAATACGATACCCGAAAGTTTTTGCAAATTACGTACTTTCTTTACTTCGCCCAAGAAATAAAAAAAAAGAAGCTTAACTTTTATATTTTGCATTGATGTCTCTTCTGTGTTATTAAAGCGAGTTTTCGAAAGATATCTCGCCCTGACAACTGAGAATTTATAGCTAGAACTTTGCCCTGAAATGTCAGGATGCAATAGAAACGAATTGTCTAACTTCAGAAATACTTTTGTAATAATGTTATTATAGGCAAAAAAAAATTTAATAAATTTGAACGATATTGTACGTTTAAGTCGGACCTAAAACTAACTATAATCGATTATTCTAATGTGATTCAATGGTAAACCATGTAATTAAATCATTTTGCAGAGTATTAGAAGGAATTCTGGTTGGCCTCATGATGTTAGGAGAGACTTTTGGCTTTGCCCCGGATTATCAGAAAGCTAGAATTGGAGCAGTCAGAATTTTTAAAATCTTAGATCTCAAACCACGCATAGATGCATTTTCAGAGCAAGGAGTAATAATGGTAAATAGTTTGATTATATTTTAGTTAAGAATCAATTTAGTTAAAATATATAATATCAGGATATAAAAACTATTTAAACATAATGTTTCCAAAAGCATCCTCTTCCTAGCGTGTAATTTTAAAACTGCTAATAAATAATTTTTAATAGATTATTATAAAATTATCGTTAAAATATTTTGTACTTTATTTGCTAATGACCGCTTCAAAAGAAATGTATTATTTGAAAATCGTTTTCTTTTTGTTATTTTAAGCAGAATTTAAGGATTTAAAGGATATCTATGAATAGATCATTTTTAATAGATTATTATAAAACTATCGTTAAAATAATTTGTACTTTACTTGCTGATAGATGCTTCAAAAGAAATGTATAATTTGAAAAGATTTTTCTTTTTGTTATTTTAAGCAGAATTTAAATATATTTAAACGATATCCATGATTGAAATTATGCACTGGAGTTTAAGCAGTTAAACAGTGATGTCAAAGCAGATTAATGATGGAAGTATTTAAGTGGAAAGGTTTCAAAAGTATTTCTGTATCGCTTTTTTTGTCGACCGAAAATATAAATTGAATTGTTAGATTATAATTTATTGCTTTTATGGAAGTCTCAAAGTTTTCAGTAGTAGCGGATATTGAATATAAGTTAATTCTTGCATCACTGCAGTAAATCCACCAGTGATACATCGGTGTTTTCTTCGTTACAATAAATCCTTTCAAGACGATCACTTTCTTCTCGAAATCATTTTGATTTACTCTATAGTAATGCTGGTCATTTTTAGAGGAGGTTTTCTTAACGAGAAACAAGAACATTCAGTTTATTTATCTACTTGAAAATTATCCATTAATATACTAAATATTTATTTTTTGTAATATCTACTAAACACAATGTCGTAGTGTGATGGCGTTAGGGCGGCCCGCCTTGGGCGGTACTTTCTTAGGACGGCAAAATTTCACAATAAATAGTAATAATATCCTGTAATCTGAACCATTTTTTTTTTCATACTTTTTTCGCACCTACGATTTGGGCTGATTAAAATTAGCACGAAACTTTATATTACTTAGTCTGCGAGGGAACTGAGGAATTCCTTTTCTTTAGTGAAGTGGAAAGGTTTAAAAAAGTTGCCAGAAAGAGAGAGTCCATCTCGCTCTTTCTGGCAACTGGCAACATCATCTGCACTAACCAGCTGCCGTGCGATGATTCTTCATGTTTAATTTTGTGTTCGGATTGTTCATGAAGAATATTCAGCGGATAATTAATTCTATCATATAAAGAATTAATTAATGAAAGTAATATCATTTGAAAGGTATATGCATTGGTTATAAATAGGTATTAATCGTACTACATAAAAACTTATTATTATTTAATAGTTAAAGATTGAAAAGTTAATGCAGGAAAAAGTAAGGAAAATACTCTTTAAAAGGGTAGATAAGATGAAAATTTAATATTTAAAAAGCTTCATTTAACAAATGCAGATGTTGTTCCCACACATAGTTATAATGATACAGGCTCCTGTTCTGACTGCAATGATTAATGTTTTTTAACAACGCTCATAATAAGAGTTTAAGTTACAATAAAAATTTGGCTTCAAGAGATGTTTTTTTGGGGGGAGGGGAGGGAGTTGCGAAGGGGGCAACAAGTTTTTTTTTTTATAAATGCATATCAGTGTATCAGTAGAGCAGGAAAATAAGAACGAAGAAACTAAAAGTATCCGAGTTGATGCTTGGACAAACTTAAAAATCTTATTGCCTAATAATTAGTTCTAATTTAATTATTGGTTACTAATTAAACACGAACGGTTTTTTTCCCTTCCATAATTTTAATAATATAATAATAAATAGGCGTTTTATTTTTCAATGTACATTGATATTGTTGATGTTGCTTCAAATATCTGGAACTTTATTGAATTTTTTTGAATAATTTGATGAAACGTAAGGCTACATGTTCGTGTTTCGGAGTTTAGCGGGAGTATAAAAGTTTTTGGCCTGTAAAATGTTTTTAGTAAAAATTCTAAGAAAGAAATCACACAGATTGACCATATTACCGGGCTACCACGTCTAATCCACAACACATTGATGAATTGGCTAAACAAATGCGAGCATCCGAAGATCTTTAGATAGATACATCATGAAATACGTTGTCTGAAATATCCATTTCAAGAAAATTAATTGTTAATATCAACTATAGTGGGCTGACAACTACGCAGTTAATGTAAATGAGACTACAATTTTCCATGTTATACTTTTGAGATGATCAGTGTTCTTGTGAATACTTTCATGGATACCTTATGATATTTATGTATAAAGAAATACAGAAATTCACAGAATGTGTACATAATGAATTTTTCTCTCCTAAGGACAACGTGAATGGTTGCGTGAATTTCGAGAAGGTGCGCTTCAATTATCCGAGTCGTCCAGATATTAAGATCTTGAAAGGTTTGAACTTGGAGATTGAGCCAGGAAAAACAGTTGCTCTCGTTGGAAGTAGTGGATGTGGTAAAAGTACTTGCATTCAGCTTATTGAGAGATTCTACGATGCTCAACATGGCCGAGTGGTAAGTTTATCTGAAGGAAATCAATGATGTTTAAGACACCTTTTTCGTCTTTCGTTACACAGTTACAATTTACATTTCGCTATAGTCCAACCTTATTACTTACAAAATAGGAATTACTTGTGCTAATGCTAAGAAATGGAAATCCGAATCACATGTATAAACATAAATTAATAAACGTAAACATATAAATTAATTTAAAAGAAACTGTGAAATTTAAAACAAAACTTACATTCCAGCATTTTAGTACTCATTGCTAGCCATGATTCAATCTAGAGAATAGCCAAGAGATAGAGAGAGTAAACACATCGCAAGTCCAGTTTTTTCCATGTAACATTCCATTAAAAATAGCTAAAAAAAACTGTAGTGTCCGAATTAATTGGAACAAAACTAATTGTTTGATAATTTATGTGCCTATCTTCATACACAGTGGTAATAATAAAATTAATAGAAAATATGTCTTTCTTCAGCAGAAAAGATTTCTAGAATGCGCTTAGGCATTGACTATACTAGTCTTGTGCATATAAGTTTTACTTCTTTAGCACAGAACCACACTTTTATAGTATTCTTAATCATGCGCACTTTTGTCGTACGATCCATTTTGCTGAGATGTTCTTTGATAATGCACCACAAGCTTTCAATCGGATTTAAATCTGGCAAATCCCTAGACCGATTTAGCACGATAAGTTTCCTTTCCAAAATGAATTTTCTGATATATTTCGAATTGTGGGATGAAACGAAGTCAGGATGAAATATCCCTACAAAGGTTTCCGAGAATGAAACAATTTTATTTTTTAAAATGTATATGTAGTTCGATGAATTCTTTATTCCGTCAACAGGAACTAGACTTCCAGTGACATCTGCAGTGATAAAATGCCGAAACACTTATTTTGTAGGGTATTTTACAGTTTCCTGGATATATTAAGGTTTACTGATTCACCCTTGCTTCATCTAACAATGTTAGATGAACAACCATGAACAAATAAATGAGTCTCATCGCTGGAAGTGATATTTTTCGAGTCATTTATGTCCGAATTTGTATTTTTTGTCCCACAATAATCATTTTTGCTTCATTTGACATATCAAAAGTTGTACAGAAAGAATATTTCTTCGAGTCATGGATATGTGACTGTTAAGTACGATAATCTTTGCTCCCTTTCTACACATTATATTTATTTTTAATACACTAAAATAAACGAATACAAAACATATATAAAAAGCATTCAAAAGTAACTTCCTCTTCTCATAGAATCAAACTTAAGAATGGTACAATGATTCTGTCGAAAGCAGACATCTAGATGACATTAAGTTAGGTAACACTGCTTTGAAAGTCCTGACGCTAGCAGGCAACCAACATAAAGTTGTGAAAAAATCACTTTGTTTCCAATTACATTAATTTGCCTATTATAGTACATAACATATTGTGAGGTATTATCTAGTTTGGTTTTCTAGTTTAGTCTATCTAGTTTTAATTAAGAAATAAATTGATTATTACTTAAAAATAATATATTTAAACATTATAAAACTCTTATAACGTATATTATTGCTGTATATAATATTGTATAAAATGTTCTGCTGAAACAGGAATTTTGCTCAAGAGAATTTCTGCTACATGAAACTAATACATGGGTATGTAAGATTCACATGCATGCACGTTTAGCGGTCTTTTTCTAAGAAGGATGTGCGGCACCTACTCAGATTTTACGAAGTTATTATTGGCTGGGATAAGGTCGTAGCAGACTGCGATTCACCAGTTGATTAATTTGAAATGAGGCGTGGTTGCGGCGGTCGTTGTTGTATAATTATTAATTAGGCGAAAAGTTAAAAGAGGGAAGATTTGGTTGAAAAGGGTAGGAGTTTCAGTGAGCTACTTGTTTTCAGTTGAATGGTGAGAATCAGTTCTGTTAGTTTTGAACTAGCAAAAATGAAGAAGAATGAAGACTTTATTGAAGATGGGCGGCAGGTTTTTTTTCTCCAGCTACAGATTTTGAGTTGAGAGGTCAAAGTTTTCGTCAGCCACTTGCTTTGAGTAGATAATTTGAGTAGCACAAAATATATAAAACTATTTCATGGTTTTTCTAAAGCTAGCAATTAAAAGCTTCAACCTAAAAATAACCAGATATTCGAATCAGAGAGTTCGCACTATTAAATAATATGAAAGCTAACTGATGCAAGAATTGCGCGCTGCTGCTTAAATATAAGTGACGGAATATGTAGTGAGAAATAAAAGAAATCAACTCAGAACTTGCCCTGTAACAAAATTTATCAAAAATATATAACTCTTTGGATTTAGCACTATAAGGTCCCGCCTTCTTGACGTGCCTTCGTGGTGTTGTAATAACTTACTTAATCTTCTATTATCTGTGGTTCTTGTGTTCTATTGGCCAAACAAAGACACTTTCCTTTAACTACACTGGTGTGCAAAAATTAAGGACGAAGTCGAAAAATTAGCATATTAGCTGAACGAAGAGGCAGAGCGGACAGAAAGACCAATCAGGAGATTAAGTAAGGTGATGTACGGTAGCACATGCGCAGATATGCAGGTAGACGTAATGGGGGAGTGTCTGAGTAGTATAAAGCATGTTGTCGGTGTAAGATCGGTATTTCTGGCAAAGAGATTGCACGCCGTATAGCAGTTAAAATCACACCGAGTTGCTGCCTCAGCGAGAAATGGCGAATAATCAATCTGTTAGACAACATCTGGATGCTTTTACCCGAGGTCGAATCATTGGGAAGTTGGAGGAAGGCCGCAGTGTGACAAGTGTGGCTGCAGAGTTCGGAATTGCTCACAGCATCGTTTCACGACTTTGGAGACAATTTCAAACTACAGGAACAGCTATCCGGGGGTTTAGTAGTTGTCGTCCACGAGGAACCACACCCGCAGATGACCGATGTATTGCCTTACAGGCCAGAAGGGGAGAAATCGCTAGACACACGACACAGGTGACTGGACGACCGATATCGCGTTTAACCGTGGCCAGAAGACTGCACGGTGGTGGTCTGTTTGCACGACGCCCTGTACGGTGTGTACCTCTAACGCCTGCCCATCGGAGAAGGCGTTCTCTGTGGTGCCGGGAACACCGGAATTGGAGAGACAAACAATGAATGGGGACGAGTACTCTTTACAGATGAGAGCAGATTCAGTCTGAGTAGCGATTCTCATCGCATACTCATCTGGAGAGAGCGGGGAAACCGCAATCATCCCTCGAACATCATTGAAAGGGACAGGTATGGAGGTGACGGTGTTCTCGTTTGGGGAGGCATCATGCTTGGTAGTCGTACAGACCTTCACATCTTCGACGCAGGTTCAGTCAACGGGACCCGTTATTGTAACGAGATTCTTCTTCCATATGTGCGTCTTTTTAGAGGCGCTATGGGTCCGCAGTTCCTTTTCATGGACGACAATGCACCATATCATCGCACTGTAGCTGCCGAACAGCTCTTAAAGAGTGAGGATATTGAACGTATGGATTGGCCGGCACGATCTCCGGATCTCAATCCCATCGAGCATGTATGGGATTTTCTAGGCAGACGCTTGGCAGCTCGTACCTTACCACCAGTAACGATTCCGGAGCTTCGATTGGCGCTGCAAGACGAATGGGCAGCAATGCTTCAACAACTCATTGACACCCTCATTCTCAGCATGGGCAGACGCTGTGAAACCTGCCTAGCAGTCAGGCATCCCCTAGCAGTCAGGCATCATATCTCCTATTAAAGACCGGATGTTTCTTGCTGGACACCCATCACAGGGATGTTTCGGCCTTCAGTCGCATTGCGCTCCATGCTACTTTTTCAATAAAGCTTCTTTTTATCCCTCTGATTTCTCTTTTAGTAAGTGTTGCGTACATTACTCATGTCCTTACGTATTGGGGATCTCACGGTATTAAATGTGTTGATTTGGAAAGCTTTTGTACAAAGTTATATTGAAAAAACCGTCTCGTCCTTAATTTTTCCACACCAGTGTAAATCTATTTGATGAAGAGAAGACTATGTACAAGTATTATATACAGATTACAGAGTATCTAGTTTATACTAATCTCAACCACTCTCATCAAACTTTCAACTCTCTCTGCTGGAAACTTTTAATTAGCTACACATACTGGCGGCGCAGCGCCCTCCATCTCGTTTTTCTACATCACTCCCCACCTGTTCTCTTTAACAAGAGTACACCCTACTTACCTACATAACAATATTAACATTAATTAATAATGGATTAATACTAAATAGTACGACGTATATAAATGAATAATATAAAAGAATAATCTACACTAGTATATATCAAAGCCATAAATGAACATAATAATTAATAATATAATAATAAAAACTCAATAATATCAAAAAGTTCTAAATTAAATCTCGAAAGGATATAACATCTGGATCGATCTTCTGAATTGTCCTTTGGGCGTGCGAACGAGGCACGCTCGAACATGTATATCTCTTCCTATAATCACGTTTTCAATTACATCCATGTCCCAAAGTAGTTTGGATTGTTTTGGTCCTTCTATCAACACAACGTCTCCAATCTTAATGTTCCGCTCAGTTTTAGGATTAGCAAAGTTATACGCATTTCTAAGATGGAGTAAATATTGCTCTTTCCACTTGATCCGTGTTAATTTTAAGAGCCTAGATTAATAAAGCTTCCTCCTAGTTAAAGTCTCTTTGTCGGACACCTTGTTAAAGATTTCCAAGAAATGCTCGGGAAAGTTAAATGTATCACGTCTTGGCAATAAAAACTGTGAAGGTGTGAGCGGGCGAGGTTCACCCAGCTCGCTGCTGTCCTACGTTAAAGGTCTATTATTTAACACACACTCGAGTTCAGTTAATATTGTAGAGAGCTCTTCGAAAGTCAGTAATGCTCTCCCTAAAATTTTCTTCAGAGGTTCCTTGATGCTTCTCATCAAACGCTCCCAGAACCCTCCCCACCATGGGGAACGCTCAGGTATGAATTTCCACGTTACCTCTTTGGATGTCAGGAAATCTCTTACACTTGGCTCTGCTCTGAT